AGGCCGACTTCGCTATCCTCGTCATTTCTGCTGCTACCGGCGAGTACGAGGATAGCATACATCCGAGTGGCCAAACTTGCCAGCACCTTCTACATGCGTTTACTCTAGGGGTCCGCCAGATCATTGTAGCTGTGAATAAGATGGATACTATTGGATGGAGTGAGGTTCGCTTTGATTATATTATCAAGGATATCTCCTCCCTTCTCAGAAAGGTTGGCTACAATCCTCGGACAGCGGCATTTACCCCTATTTCCGGCTACGGCGGTGACAACATGTTGGAGGAGTCTATTCACTTGAGCTGGTTCAGGGGAGGGACGAGAGAAACCAAGGACGGTGTGGTCAAGGTTAAAACCCTACTTGACGCCATTGAAAGCATCGTGCCCCCGCCCAGGGCTACTGATAAGCCTTTACGTCTACCCATCCGGGATGTTTATAATATATCCGGGATCGGTATTGTGCCGACCGGCCGTATCATCACCGGGGTTATGAAGCCTGGCATGGACCTAACATTTGCCCCAACTAACAATACTGCTCAAGTGGTGTCTATTGAAATGCATCACAAGCAGGTTGATAAGGGCACTGCGGGTGACATAGTCGGCTTTAATATTACAGATGTCTCTGGGGATATATGCCGTAGCCATATCGCTGGTGATTCTACAAATAATCCCCCGAAGCGTGTTGCTTCCTTTACCGCTCAGGTTATAGTCCTGGATCATCCCGGTCAGATTCGGGCTGGCTATACCCCTATTGTGGACTGCTATACTGCCCATATTGCCTGCGAGTTCTCAGAATTGCTGTACATGAATGACCGCCGTAATGGCAGCCACATCAAGGACTCGCCTGAATTTCTCAAGCGGGGTGATGCCGCTATGATCAAGCTCGTTCCCTCCAAACCCATGTGTATGGAGACTTTCAGCGACTGCCCCGCACTTGGACGTTTCATCATCCGTGACAAGGATCGGACTGTCGGTGTCGGTGTCGTCAGGAGCGTCGAGAATTATGTGTATTATGAGAATGAAGATGATTACGAGAGTGATGATGATTACCAGGATTAAGCTGGCGGTGCCGGCTGTGACGAGGGGGCCGACCTGCTGGTAGATTCGGACAGGGATCCAACCGCCCAAAAACTCAAAAATACACTTAAATGTTACGGTCTCTGCAGAGGTGTTTCGACTTGGCGTTGTCTACGTAGCTGAAATTATCCGCATTTGCCTGGACACCATGTTTTGTTGCTCAAGCTTAGCGATATCCCAGCCTACGTAGCACCCACAGGGGTGTAGCTGTGCGCCACACTGCTACCACGCAAATTAATTTCGTTATCTTCTAAACCTTTCCAGCATGCCCTGCATCTTCCGGGCGGATTAAAATACGTATACCCAGGCCTGCGAGGGCAATTAGCAGCTGGAAAATACCCGATGAACTTCTACACTGGCATGAAAATTTAATGCTTCTCATCATCGACCGACCGCGTGTATCTACGGTTGACAACTCCGTACCTCTAGCAAAGCAGTTTACAAAGCCACTGGACATTATACAAGAGGCTCACTCGAGGAATCAAGTTGATTGTTGGCGTCAGAATCGAGCATCCCATTTTAATATGGCAACCACGCACCATCGTCTCCAGCTCTCTGAGTCATCGCTCTCCCGCCCAGGCACCCACTCTCTCCTTATCTCAATGCCGCAATCCATATATGCCGCCAGATCTCGCTCGGAGATTGACTCAATTTCAAAACCCATCCCTAGCACCGTCTCAAAAAAGCCAGCCACAACTTGTCGGCCTACATAAAGCTCTGATACAACCCAGACTTTGCCGCCAGGTGCGAGGAACCATTGCAACGAACGAGCGAGGTTTTCATGCTGTGAATGCAGCCAGAAGCAGTCTGTGGCAATGATACGAGTAAAGGCGCTCTGGTTTTGTTGGGAGAACGAGTCCGAGAACAAACCCCATTCATGGGGGTGGGTAGAGACATGCGCGGTAGCTAATTCGGGGCGATTGCGCAGATTGTGGTCCATATTGAAGGTGATTGCCCCCCCAAGGGCGGGCGAGACAGGGTGGTCTGTAGCAACGACAGTGGCTGCCTTGGCTAGGGCGCAGATCAGCGAAGGGAGAGCGGCGCCTGATCCAACAAATGATGGGCATTAGTGGGTGACGGATGCCGTAGAAAGAAAAGATACTCCCCGGCGCCTAGCTCCAATACCCTTTCGCCTTCCCCCTGCCATATCTCACGAGCTTCCTCCTGCTTGGGGTTTGCCTCCCCGCTGTTAGAATAAGCATCCTCCACACCCTCAGCGACTACTAAGGCTCCATTCCACAGGTAATGAGCAAATAGCTTGCGCGCCTGATTTACCTGGTCTGGTTGCCCATCTTTCTCTGTCAGTTTGATATCATTCTCCTCTAGATGTTGATCACTCAGGCTCGGGTACGTGGGCACCATGACCGTCAGATCGCCCCAGCAGGTGTTATAGAGAAGCTGCTCGCCAGGGCCGCCTAAGTATAGCCGCGGGTTATCTGGGAAGAGGTGCGTCCGAGAAGCTTCGAAAATATCCTCAAGTGACTCGTTGATCTCGGTGTTGACATCCTCATGTAGTAGATCAGGCGCTGGAACACTGCAGGCGGAGGGACGTTGGCAGGGGAGGTTCCGCAGGCGCGAACGGAGCATTGTCTTATTATCTTGGTGCTTTGTCAAGGAAGATAATGACCTGTAAAGTATTTAAAAGAGAGCCTTTTTACTTTTGGCTTAGCCGTTTTCACGTCTGACAATGGATGAAAAGGGTCTGTCCGCAGGGATTTTGGATACGACCCGGATAAAGCAACATGAGCCTGTCGGGTAGCTTACAGATCAAAGCTAGTAGTGTGTGTGTGCGCGTGTGTGTCTATTTTACGTCGGGGGCGAGTCCTTCCACAGAAGCGGTGAGGCTCTGGTCCCGGTGCGGGACATACGACGGACAGATCGGAACTGTCTGTCACCTAGCTAAACTACCATCTATCATCTAAATACAGGTAGCCCCCCGCGCGGGGGGCTGCTTGGGTTTTTCATGGCTGTCAACCAGCGAATTGTGCATATTGGTTTGGATAGAAAAGCAAGAACGCGAGCAAGAAGGATGGAGAAAAACAGGGTACACTAAGGGGAGGATGAAGGGAAGAGTCTGGAGAGAGGGATAGGGACCAGAGGTAGGTCTGGGTATCCCTGAATTTGACGGATTTTGGTGGCCTAATGTCGTCGGCAGATATCTGTATAGAAGTTGGAATCTCCCAGCCAGCCTGCAAATGCAGTGTATCCAGCCTTTGTGCGGAGGATATCAGTCACAGGCCGGTGGCCCCATGAATGTGCTGCTGCTTTGCGGCCCTCCCTGCAATGATAGAAATGGGATGGTTCCTTTCTGCGGCCGCAAGAGCATGTCAGCAGGGCGTCATCGTGTTTAAAGCGTTCATGGGTACTCTGCAAAGTCACCATGTCCGCTCCTGGCGGCAAGGAGGCGGCCCAGGGCTGTTCGTGGAAGGAGGAGCTCTGGGTGGCGCTTCTCCAGGCCTATCCTGAGGTCCTTGTATCGTTTGGGGGCCTTTTCTGCCCAGAACTATGCAAAGGCATGTCAGTGCATCCTCTGCGCTATTCGTCTGGCAGCTGCTATTGACGCAGGTGCTATAGGGAGATTCAGGGGCCCATGGCAACCCATCTTGGCTTCTTTGTCGGCTTCTTCATTGCCTTCAATGCCTGTATGCCCAGGGACCCATTTCACATGCACCCTGCCTTCCTGTACGCCTGGTGCTCTGATGCGATTTGGCCATGTTTGGGCAGCTTCTTGGAAACTCCTGAATACTGACTGACTTGATCCTCTGGGCTGGCCTTGGAGTTGCTGTACTGCTTCCAGGTTGTCCAGACAGATGTGTATGTCTATGGTATGCTTGGCTCTGGGGTTCTTGAGGCCTGAGAGTGGTGTGCAGGCCCTGCAGGGCAGCTCTGGCTTCTGCATCAAAGACTTCCTGATTGGGGAGCTTTGTGTGCCCATGGAAAATCTTGATCTTGTTGGTGCCCCAGTAGCTCACCCAGCCTGTACCTGTGGCTGTGCTCTCCTTTTCTTTGGACCCATCTGTGCAGACCACCATTGCTGGTTGTGGGATGGAAGAGAGCCATCTCTGGAACTCCTCCTGTGACGGCTCACACATGATAACTCACATATAACGGCCCAACACCGCATCAACGGATGATACATCACAAATGCCGCTATACAACCCTGCCACCAACAACCCCTATAAAAAACCTCTTCATTATCAAGATAGATTTCCTTTTCTCTTCTCTTCTCCAGATTCGATATTCTCGTCGATGGCTACAATAGTTTAGATAGGAACATTGATTCAATATTATCTACTATTCCGAGCCCGTGACAGCTGCCAGGAGCGGCCATGGTGACTTTGCAGAGTACCATGAGCGCTTTAAACATGACGATGCTTTGCTGAAATGCTCATGTGGCTGCAGAAAGGAGCCCTCTCACTTCTACTTTTGCCGTGAGAGTCGCAAAGCAGTAGCACATCCATGGGGCCAACAACCAGTAACAGACATCCTCACCAAAAAGACAGGATTCACTGCATATGCAGATTGGCTGGGAAAATCGCAATTTTATACAGCCATCTGCAGACGCTATTAGGATGCTAAATGCATCAAATCTGGGAACCTCCAGGCTTACCTCTGGCTCCCTCGCCCTTCATCAGATAGTCCGCTTCTTCCAACTCACAGAGTCAGAGTAGCTCTATACTACGGAACATGTAAACATTAATCGGGCTGATCTCGGAGCCTCCGGAATCGGAGATGCTCTCGGTGCGGAAATACCGTAAATAGTAATCAATTTCTCGGGGCCGACGGATCAGATAAGATACGCCACATGGTTAAGTATTTAGCCCTGCCGTATAAGAACCTTGATGGCGCCGCATCAATCGACATTCGAGAAACACTTTTCTTTTTCTAGTTGATCATTTTAACTGAAATATCTGTTTAATACACAAAATGGCCAACGCACTCAGAAATATCATCGTTGTTGGAGGGTCCTTCGTGGGAAAGGTGAGTCGGAGATAACCTAGTATCTGGCCAGATTGTTGATATTGACCGTTGGACAGGCTACTGCTTCGGAACTGGCGAATGTCGTCCCGAATACGCATAGGGTGGGTTCTATAAACCTCTATATTGAACATAGCTGCTAACTCGCTCAGGTTCTCTTGGTAGAACCGCATAGCCACTTCCACCATCTCTTCACTTTCGTAAGCATTCCCCTTTTCATTTTAAGAGCGACTACTGATTACGGGTATAGCCACGATTCGCTATTGTCCCTGGCCATGAACACAAAGCATTCATCCCATACACCGGGCTCTTTTCTCCCAACCCGAAAGATTCTCCATCGCGCCATTCTGTCATCCAAGCACGTGCTCTATCAGTCCAACCGCATCATCTCCAGCTAGACCGCGAATGGCAGGGGTCAAACCAGATTCCATTTGAATACCTTGTCGTCGCAACAGGCACGCGCCTTGCGCAGCCTGCGGGGATGAAGCATGATGATAAGCTATCCTCCGTGTCGTATCTGCAGAAACACCAAGCAGATGTCAAGCGCTCCAAGTCCATCGTCATTGTTGGCGGCGGAGCTGTTGGCGTCCAAATGGCGACTGATCTGAAGGAGTATTATCCCGACAAGGAGATTACAGTCGTGCAGTCTCGGCCAAAGCTCATGCCCCAATTCCATGAAAAGCTGCACGAGATCATCAAGGCTCGTTTCGATGAGCTTGGTATCAACCTTGTCACTGGCTCGCGCACCGTCATTCCCCCAACCGGCTTCCCCAACACAGGCACACCATTTAAGGTCCAACTAACCAACGGCACTGAACTCACAACCGACTTTGTCATCATGGCCACCGGCCAAACACCCAACAACCAGCTCGTCAAGGACTTACCACCCTCAGCAGCCACGTCTATCACGAACCCCGACAACGGATTCATCCGCATCAGACCCACAATGCAATTCCAAGACCCGAATTACTCGCATTTGTTTGCGGTGGGTGATATTGCTGATACCGGGGTGCGAAAGGCTGCAAGGCCGGGTGCTGCGCAGGCTGGTGTTGTGGCGAGGAACATCCAGACGTTGATTGAGGGGAGGACGCCTGAGGAGGCATTTGAGAGGGCCCCGGGGGCTATTCATATTACATTGGGATTGGTAAGTTTTGTTACTCGGAAATGGTAGTATTTGGGACTAACGGTGATTGCAGAAACATAACATTGTTTTCCGGAACCCAAATGTAGCGGAGGGTCAGACTGAACCAACTATCATTCAGAAGCCTGAGTAAGTATCCCATACTCCATATTTGGATAATTCAAGCTGACAGTTGCGCAGGGGACAAGAGGATATGAACGTGGAGGGAATGTGGCAACGGTTGGGTGTTGCGATTGAGAGCCAGCACCAGTACCATCTGTAAATGTTTGCATCTTGTTAGATCTATGGTTTTGCATCTTCACTGTATTTACATGAGCCTTGGAGGATTATTTACTCTGGAATATACATAATCTAATGCGTCCATCAGACCTCAAACAGGAGGAGGATTCAAATCCAACCCCTCCACCGTAAGCGTAAACGCATCATTCCTCGAATAACTCCCCGCAACATCCATATCCAACCGCCCCCTTAGACAATCATCAAGATCAATCTCCGCAACCGACAGTCCCGCCTCAATACCTGCCTCATCATCCGTACTAGCCTCCCAAATCGGCTCAGACAGAACCTCACCTAAAGGACCAACGATACACGAGCCACCGCGCGAGACGTACTCGTCTACAGAGGCTTGACCTTGAGAGTACTTCGTGATCCACTCTGGCAAGTCTCCGCGGCGCACGGATTGGTTCGCGGAGAGGACGAAGGTGCGTCCCTCGCCGGCGACGGTGCGCATTAACGGTAGCCAAGTGTCGCGGCTATCTGCTGTTGGGGCGAGGTAGATGTTCACGTTCTGAGAGTAGAGGCTTTGGCGGAGGAGAGGCATGAAGTTCTCCCAGCAGATTGCGGCGGCCAATGTGATTGTGACGCCGTCGATTTCGGTTGTTACAGCTTTCAGTGTGGACGGGGATCCCTGTGCCCAGACGAGGCGTTCTGACCCGGTCTGCAATATATCAGTAACCACCCAAGCAAAGACAAGAATAAAAGAAACGCACCGGCATAACCTTCCTCCTCTTCCCAATAACCCCCCTAACAGGATCAACATAAACAACCGCACAATACAAACTCCCCCCCGCCCTCTCAATCACCCCCGTAACCACAAAAATCCCCGTCCTCTTCGAAACCCTCTCCAAAACCTCCCTCGTCCCATCCCCCCGATACTCCTTCCCTGCGGGGAGCGGCAATCTCCGCTCCACCCACTCATCCCCCGCGCCCGCCGGCGTATCACCCAAATCAACCGCTGCGTTGAAGTATTCGAGGAATTGGTCACGGCCGTACGGTGCGCGCGCGCCGACTGCTGTTCCGAAATCGCAGGTGCGTGGGTAGCCGCCGAGGTAGGCTTCTGGGAAGAGGAGGAGGCGAATGCCTTTGGTGACGGCGTGGGAGGTTATGGTTTCGAGGGAGGAGAGGGTGGCGGAGAGGGAGGACTGGGTGCGCGATTGCACGACGGCGACTTTGAGGGTTTGAGGCATGTTTTTGGTGATACTGGGAGTTGAAGTTTGCAGAATTGATGCTGTTATATAGGAATATTTCAAGCAAATGCCGAATTGTTTCCCCGCATTCGGTCTCGGCACATCCCGATTGTCCGCGGTTCGGAGTGCGGAGTATATCGAACTATACAACGTTTTGGAAACCATGGAAATGTAGTAACTGGGTTTACCCCTCGGAATAGCGAGCTGTAAATAGGCCAGCTAGAGGGTGTATGGTTGCTACTAATATGACTGTTATTATTATGGTTTCGGTTAAGCTAGAACCAGTGAAGGTGCTATTTATATTTTATGCTGCTATTCAACTATATACTATCAGTGCAAGCGCCATTTGATTGATCAAGGTTTAAGATTCACTAAGGACCTTCGTAGGCATATATCCGCTTGTATTCAAACGGAATGCCTGCTCTTGCAGCTAGACGGAACGCTCTAGATAGATTCTTTCTTTATGCGATTATCTATAAGTATCGCCATAGCGCTCTCCTGTACTTGGTTACTGGCTTCCTCACTGCGGTCAATGCCACCTGGACCATCGAAACCGCGACCAATACAGCAAATAGCCTGGACGCAAATGCCCCATTATCGACGCTTATCAACGTTCCCATGCCAGGTATATTAGATTTCGGTCTCCAGCCACGGGTCTGTTCCGGTGCGCAACAAAGTCGCGAATTGTCCTCTGAGGGGGAGGGGATCTTCGCGGTCTCGTACTCGGTGGTCAAGTTGAAACACCAGGGCAGACCATTGCCGGGATTTGGTATCAAAGCCCCGGTTCTGGGGCACCCGAAAAGGGCAAAAGCATATCACTTGGCTTTGGGACGAGAAGCAGACTATCTATTGATTATGCAATGGAATTACTGATTAAGAGACAAGATATTTTTTGATAAGCTACATTATAGTTTACAGTAAAATCTAAATATACATCCCTGACAAGAAGCTCTATAACTAGTTAACGTATTCAACGGGCGAGCGGCGAATACGGCCGAAGTGCGAATTCTCCCCGCAACCACCAAAATATTCAACACAACCATTTTCTACACACCATTTCTTCACTTTTTATATACAAAATGCCTTTATCCAAGAAATACCGTATGCAAATGGCTATTACTGCATGGAAAGACAAGAAAGTTCAATCAAAATTGAAAGCTGCCTAGATATATGGTGTCTCTGAATCCTCCCTCCGCCAGCGGCTTAATGGAATCAAACCACGTACAGAAACACGCGCAAACGGCCATAAATTGACAAAATATGAAGAAGAAGTACTTGTCAAGAGGCTACTAGATGCAGACAAGCGAGGATTTTCAATTCGGTCAGAATTCCTGCGTGGAATGACACAAACTTTACTTCATGAGCGTACACAAGATCCAACTGCAGTTCTTGGAATCAATTGGGCCTATTCCTTTACCAGACGTCGTCCTGAACTACGTACAAGATACAATCGAAGAATTACATACCAGATGGCAAAGCAAGAGGATCCAAAGGTTCTTAAACAGTGGTTTGAGACTGTACGCAAGGCTATTCAAGAACATGGTATACATGAAGATGATATCTGGAACTTTGATGAAACTGGCTTTGCAATGGGACTCTGTACAATGTCCAAGGTTATTGCTGCAACAAAATGCAGTGAGATGCCTCGTACAGCTATCCAGGGAAATCGCGAATGGGTTACAATCATTGAATGTGTGAGCCCAAAGGGCATTCTTATTCCACCAGCAATTATCTTGAAGGGGAAAGAACACCAGGCTGCTTGGTATGAAGAGGATAATCTTCCCCTAGATTGAAAGCTTATCAACAGTCCAAATAGCTGGAAAACTGATGCAATTGGTCTTAAGTGGTTAAAGCAAATTTTTGATCATTTTTCAAAGCTGCATTCAACTGGCGCGAAGCGGTTGCTTGTTCTTGATGGCTATTCAAGTCACTGTGACGGCTCGACACCGTAACGCCAGCTTGACGCCATGAAGCCGCCGCAGTGGCTGATATCAACGAACACCGCTATCCAGGCAATGTGATAGCTCACATGTGATGGCACACACACGACAGCTCAGCACTGTAGCGACAGTTGATACATCCAATTGCGGTTACTCGAACAAGCAACCATGATGTCAACAATCCATATAAGAAACTCTTCACTACCTAGATAGACCTTCTCTTCTCCAGATTCGATATTCTCGTCGATGGCTATAATAGTTTAGATAGGAACGTCGATTCATTATTATCTGCTATTCCGAGCCCGTGACACTTGGCTAGGCAGAGAGTAAGGATATTAGTATATTAGAGCAGAATCTATAATTAAAGACTTACCAAGCCTTGTAATAATTGGTCTATACCCTGCCTCTTATAGGCATTTGTGTGGTGCGGCTTAAGCCCTTGTTTACCCATATTGCTTGTATGGCATCGTTTGATATGTTGGCGCTGTTTGTCTGGCGTTGAGCCGTCGAGCCGTCACACTAAACCTGCTATATACCACATTTCAAAGCAATCCATGTCTCCGTGTCAAAATTGTCCTTGCTATAGTTAATGCAGCCCTCATACACCAAATATACCTGCTCTTTGCCATCATCATCACAGCTATCATTATCAAACGCGGTGCAGATTGCGCCTGTGCCGGTCAGCTGCCAGAAAGATCCACGTCGAAGTCGCTGGAAATTTGTCCAAACGCAAAATGCACATGCGAGTAGGATGAGGGAAGCTGACTGGCATTCATTACGAGACAGGAGCGGTCCACGCCAAATGCCTCAAAATATCCGACATTCAGGAATTCGGACGGGGCAGCATCATTGTTCGTGATTGACGTTCCGCAATTGGAGATACAACCGTACTCTCCTTCGGCAGCAATACCAGGAGCACCAGTGGTCGACTCGGACACAGTGCAGAATTCCGGGGTAATACCACATTGTCCCCAGATATCGCACTAGGGTAGACCGTCAGTGGGAAGGGCTTTTGGAAAAGGTCAGGGTGAGAAAGGAAAGCTTACGCATGCATTCAGAGGACATGGATTCAGACTGCTGATGTCTGACCAATCGCTCGGACGAGTTGAGCCTTCTACTTGAGGGCCACAAACGGCGTTGGGGAGAACAGCTGGCATGGGGGGTTCTCCAGAGCTGAGACAGATAACTGCATCCAGTTGCAGATTGCTGCAGCCCATCCAGCCCCAAGTCTGAGCATTGTACTCTTCAATTTCATCCGTGGTGATATAGTACTCTTCAGCTAGCAGAGCACAATAATCACCGTCCTGGACGGTATAGCTGTAACATGTGCCATTGTCATTAGGTTGCGGCGTCAGGTCGGGTAAGGAGCCCCCCGAGCAGCAGATGGGTTGTCCAACGGCCAAAGACGAACAGAGCGAGTCATCGGGGTTGTACTTGGCTAGTTCCGCAGCCGTTATTCCACACTCGGTCACCAGACTGGCGCAGGAGTCTCCCGAGGCGACTAGGATGTAATCGCAGGTATTCTCTCACTTTTCCACATGGCTGACGGACCGTTTCTCGGTGGCAGTGGACGTCGGCAGCATGGAGACGGTGATGTTGGTGCTGGTAGAACTGTGATAGCCCTTCGGCGCAGATGGCGCTTGCCCAACTTTGTATGGTCAATTGCAGCAGCTGGTAACTGCGAGCTCGGGTCACAACAAGCCCCATGGTATGAGCTCCATTCTGGTCGGTGTTGCATACTTGAGCCGCCAACGCTTCGCTTAGACTAGCATCCTCGGTTGTACTAGCGATGTTTTTTGGCGAGCTCGCGAACAGCGGCAGTGTTGTCAATGTTGCTCCCCAAGTACAAGCCAGCGATGATATCTCCATGATTCGCAAAGAGAATAGTCGAGGTGTTATCACAGCTTGGGGTACTGGTAACCTGGGACTCCAGGCCTGCGAGCGCCTTCAACATGGACGACAAGGATATCGAGTCCGAAGTGGTCGAATCCCACGAGGCTAGCTGCAAGCTAACGGACGTGGAGCTTCCAGATGCACACGTCGAGGGGTTTTTGCCAAAATCACCAGAATCAACATTATCAATAACTGTACAGGCCTTGATAGTGGTTTGGGATACCAAGGAATTGAAGACATTTAAGTTGAACACGATTGTTTCCTTGCACCGATCCAGGCGGCCCAGGGAATGGTAAGAGGTCCAGTTGGTTGAGGACGGACCTACGACCGAACAAGCCTGTGGACATCGCTCTATCTGCGAGTCGAACTTGGCCGCCGTAGCGATTGTCAAGAACAACCCGCTCAAAGAGAGCAAGACAGCCGATGTAAAAGGTCTCATCCTTCTGTGTCGGTTGTTGAGCCCATGTCAAGTTGTGGCCCTCTTGGGGCTTATATATCTTCATTTTACCCTCGCTCTCCGTCATAATTTACCACAATCCGGGCTTGAACGGACTCTAGATTGTGCTCGCAATCAGAAAGCACTAAAATGCGGGACCTCCCCAAATCCTCCTTAACCGAAATGAGCCGCTAAATCCTTATCATCTGGGCTGCGCCAAGTAAAATCTATACAAGGAGCCAAGGGCCGCCAGTGAAATTACATGGCCGACAACGATCGTGACCCTGAATACGATGCCAATTGGGGGCTTGTGACGGGTAATCGGACAGGTTCAGATAGGCAGGATGACCAGAATTAGAACTAGAAGAGTTCAGGCAGAACCATGTAATGTAGGTCATGGCCCCACTGGGAGGCTAAAAGCAATCAGCCATAGTCCGGCCTTGTTCAAGGCGCGGAAGTGCATTCAGGCGGGCCGAAGTGAAAATTGTATCTGGGTTAATTTCCGAGGCAGCCGAATTAATCACCAGTCTCATGAGTGATACGAAACCGCTAAATACTAACTAGTATAAGGGTTTTCGATTTTTTTTTTTTTTTTTTCTTTTTTTCCTTTTTCCTCGTTTAAAGCTTCTTGCTGCTACATAATTACCGACTCATTACAGCTCGGGTCCTGCCTAGAGATTTGTAAAGAACATCGAGAATCAGCGGTAGGCTCGTGAGGCTCGGAAAGCTCAACATTTTCAACTCGCCTGATGATGATGCGGATCACCCTAGGGATCCTGCTTCCCTGGTTGCTGCTGTTTCCTTCTCGACGTGGGCCCGGCTGTTTTTCTCCCAACCGAGTCCAACCAAGTCAGTGGCGGGACAACTGCTGACCACGGAGGATAGGACAATGGTTAATTGTGTGCCCATCGAGCCTGACCGAAGCTCTTGGGTCGCTTATTCTCATGACGCCGGGGTCACGGTTTATGGGTGGCCGTCTAAGGGCGGTGTGTATACCCTGCATGACTGCCTTGGAGTCGAGATCGAATTTCTCGGCTTTGACCGGTTTAACCCACCCACGTCGCGAGCAGGTTCGCAAGCTGAAGAGGATGCACATTGTGACCGTAGTCAGTATTTCCAATTTTTTTTTTTTTTTTTTTTTTTTTTTGTCCATACACGTTTCTAACCCTCGCCAGTGTGTCGTCTTGGGGCTACTTGGTGGAAAGACGAAAAGGGAATGGACCTATTGACGAGGGAGCTGGAGGGCCTGAAGGATTCGGATGAGTACGTTCGGGTCGGCTGGCCCGCGGGGGGTGGTATGTGGGTTTTACACACCACCGTTGAAGAAGCAAGCAAGAAAGGAACTGGATTGATCCATAATGCGTACAACATGGAGGAACGATGCAAAGTCATTGAGCAAATGGGAGGTGTCTTTTACGCAGATCCCAACGATTGCCCCTACCTTGATCTGCCCTGATGCCAGATGCTATTATTACAGATAGTATCCATGTCTGGTAGCTAATGAGTAATCTTTCATTGCCATATCGGTACTGATCCACCTTTTAAACAACCATAAGTGAGTGACAGCAATTCAATATATAATTGCTTCAGGGTGGGCCCTACCTCCGTGCGTGGTTTTTGAAGGCAAGGTTCTTTATTGAGTCTTGGTTCGATAACCTTCCGAGTGATTGAAGGTTTGAAGTAAGCCCAAATGGCTGGCTTTTGATGAAATTGGGTTTCGACAACTTGAAAAACTCTTTATTTCATCAGCAACTACTCGTATGACTAGCGCTCCGAGCACATGCTATAGCCAAGAGACTCCATGCCCAAGGTCATCAACCCACCATCCAGTGAGTTCCGGGACACGCGGGGGTGGAAGGAAATGAGAGAGCTGACCAGGTAGCAAAGCAGGCAGCTAATAAGCCACCAGGGAGAGGTCCAAAAGCGATCTCTCTTGTTTTTACCTGCGGAGGCCGGACAGAGGCCATTACAGAACAGAAGCAGAGATGGCTTGCTAAGGAGCTCAGCCAGCGATCTCAACAAGGTCAGCGAACGTACAGGCCACGGAAGAACTGGCAACTTGACCCTGCAGTTGCAGTGGCTCCCAAACACCTAGCAAGCCGGTATTTTCAACTGAAGTCAGGACATGCAGCCATTGGAGCATACCTACATCGGATCAGGGCCCAAGAAGATGCAGCCTGCAGAGATTGTGGCTTATCAAGGGAAACAATACACCATCTTCTTTTTGAATGCCGGAAATGGCGACAGCAACGAAACAAGCTCTACAGGGATCTGGAGCTGGATGGGGTTATGAGACCCACCCCTGCAGAGGAGCACCCGCAGGGACGACTTCTGGGAGAGCCCAGAGCTACCAAGGCGCTGCTACAATTCCTAGCCAGTACCAGTGTAGCTCTACCCCGAGCACACCTACGGCGGACGGCAGAAAGGGCCCAAAGAGATGACGAATGGGAACTGGAAGCGTTGGAGGAGGCAATTAGAACAGGAGAAGGGTAGCAGGGAGGGTAGCCTAAGCTGAATCCCAGATTAGGGCACACCCACCCTGCCCTGAAACACAAGGAGAGCACTGTGCTTGAAAGCCCTGCGCATACAGGCGGTTTGGGGCGAGGAAAAGGTACCAGAAAGATTATAGAAGGGGGCTAGTGCCTCAGGAACTTATAGGGATAAGAGACTGTAGAATAGCTGCCGGCCTCAAGCCCACGAATAATGGTCTGTCATAGCTCTAGGGCTCGGTACGAACAATAAACTTGATTAAATAATAATAAGATCAAATGATAAACGCTTTAAGTGTCTTACAAGGCCTCATACAAAGGATTTATTTGATCTATGTTGCCATGATGTGGGCGATTGCAATAAGGGTCAAGGAGCGAATAGACTGATCGATACTATGAGGCATCCATAGGGCATCAGTTGGTACCGTCCGTGAAATGGGGAAGCTTCGGGGTAGCGGTACCGATTCTCCAGATAGCCATACGAGGCCTCTGTGACAACCGAGGGCTACAGCGATAGTTTCGTGCAGTAGAGTATATACATAGTATTGAAGTTAAGTTAGTTAGTTAACTAACTAGGCCTCGCCGGGACCCTGAGGGTGACTCAACGGGTGACCCTCCACCCTCAATTTTACGGGTGGAGGGTCCAAATCTCTCACCCACAAGGCGGGTCCGAGAATGGAACCAACAAGTGCCGCCCATCGCTGGCAGCCCCCAAACAACTCTTGATAGGTTCATCGGATATATCGAGGAGATTGTTATGGAATCAATCCCGTTGCCGAGTATCGTAAGCCTCAATTTCATAATCTTTCATAATTGGGATGCGGCATAGGATAGGAATCAGAAGATATTATCCACATGGAACAAACGGGATGTACGTATATTCTGGACTATCGTACACACGGTATTCACCAGTGATCTTCGCCGATTTTCACCTCATTGACATCGGCTCCATCCACAAACCAGCGTCCCGAGCCGTCTCCATTCGGGCCTAGAAGTAAATCATTTCCAGACATCATCCTTTTTTTCATTTTGCCATCTTGATCGAAAGTCCAATCTTCCAATCCGTAGCAGCGTTTCCACTTATAACCGTCTTCGGCATCTTGGTATTCATACCAGAATTGCACGGCGATGCGATTCTCAGTAAAAGCGAATAGTTCTTTGCGCAGGCGGTAAGATTTCTCTTTTTTCCACTTGGCCGTAAGAAACGTCTGTATGGCTTCCGTGCCAGAGAAAAACGAGGTCCGATTGCGCCAGATACAATCAGCAGTATACGACTTGGAAACCTCAATCGGATTCCTTGTGATTTGTTAGATTGATCAAGTATGACGGGAAATGGAGCCAACGAACTGGGTGTTCCAGAGGTTTTGAGCGGCCTTGACCTTAAGGGTGGCTGATTCAAGGGTGAACGCAGGCTTTGCTGATGTCATATTGTCTGCTGGATGAGTGAGATCTCGTGGAAAATATGACACTCCAAACAATCTTTCAGAGCGGTCTGATGAATGACACTAAAAGGGCGGGGTAGTTTTTTCACCCCGCTCTCGCTTACCACTTTAACGTCGTGGCACTTGTAGATAGTATCCTTTGCCTTCCATGTATTATCATCCTGAGATTGGGTCTTATGAGCTTAGAGACCATCAACAAAACCACAGGTTCAATTTATATTACCATAACAATGAAGATGACAGACAAACTCAAGCAACCAAACAGTAACTCAATTTGGGCATCCATATATGTGCCGAACTTCAGGGGCATCTACAACGGGCGGCAGAACGATCCCAGAAAGACGAAGAATGGGGACTTGAAGTATTGGAGGAGACAAGTAGAACAGGAGAAGGGTAGCAGTGAGGGTAGCCTAAGCTGTGCGTCAGCCTAGGCCACACCCCCCTGCCCCGAAAACACAAGGAGAGCACTCTTCTGAGGCTCAAAAGTCCCGCGCATACAGGCGTCTTGGGGCGAGGAAAAGGACTAGAAAGACTATAGAAGGAAGTTTGCCTCCGGAACTCATAGGAACAAGAGGCTGCAGACTAGCTGCCGGCTTTGAGTTCATGGAATATGGTCTGTCATAGCTTTAGGGCTCGATATGGACAATAAACTTGATGAAATAATAATAATATTATGCCGAACTTTCTTTCCTGCGAACCCGAAAATCCCTGTGACTTTTATCATCCCTCCAATTTTCCACAATGTTAATCAAACTGCTACGCTGATACTCTGGCCAGCTTTCAAGACGAACTTCCTGAGCACATTTTTATTTGCCTCCTTGGCACCTGCTATCTTCAAATTTTGCTGGTGGTAGTAGTAGTTGGTACCAATACGGTCTGACTGTGGCAATGTGCCATCCCCGTTGCTCGCAGGTGTGATATAGATGTGACCTAGTCTATCCTTATCTGAATCGGTGTCCGGGACGAGGAAAGCTCATAAGCTTCACTGAAAAGACAGGTGCCGTTATCTCCGGTGAGGATTCTAACAGTGATGTTGCTTATGCTGGTATCCTTGCTCGTGTCGTTATAGGCAGTTACTGCGATGCTCGTAGTCGACTGTGCTCATGCTACCCCAATCATTGATTAAACTGAAGGCCATTGCGATTGCAGCTCCGAGGCCAAGGAAAGTATTGACACCCTTTAGTATCTTGCCAGTAAGGCTTAGCTCTTCGGTCGTATCATCAGCTGCTGGAGGCAGACCTTCGGGCGTCTCATCAACGGGTTCATTCCACTTTTTTCCTCCTGGTTCTTCAAGGGGTACCTCTTCATCACTGACATGGTCCCCAACAGAATGGCGCTAACTTCCTTCATAGCCATTGATTTCATCGGCCATAGAAACCAATTCGTCTCAGTTGTCATCAAGCGCCCTATACGTGCCTTGATCCATGAGTGCGATATCTAGCTGGTCCAGATCTACCGAGGCTGTTCTGTCTTTTCAGACCTTCCAAGCGTCGATAGCATTCCCGATTCCCTTTGTTGCAATTTAAAATGTCCCCAGAATTACCTGCGCACCTTTGGGGTCCGACAGCGAATCCCAATCGCTAATCAGGCCATTCAATTTCCATATGCCAAGGCCTAGGTAAAAGGCCGCTTATTGAGATAAAATTAGCATCTGAATCCGGCACGGCTACATGGCGGCACGATGCCACCTACTATTGAAGAAGTGACCAGTCCTTTCAAGAGCTTAGGCCTATTAATTATGGAGCTCACTTTGTCCGAGATTTTCTCCCACGATACGCTCAGCCATTGATAAAATCTCACCCCAATCCAAGCTTTTTCCACGTCGTTATTTAAATTTTCGTAAGACACAGAAACATAGAAAATCTAGATTGTAGCATTGCTAACAAGGGTGAACTCCTGCATCACATTGCACTGCACTAAGTAATCATTTTCACTTTGGGTAGTGTAGCGGTTATCACAGAGATCCATGTCCTACCCCAAATATTCAAAAATACCATCCGGTCATGTTGAAGGGCGTGCAATTTTTAGATAGCTCCTCCATTGCTTTATACCAGTAATATCCATCAGACGGTATGACTAGACCCCAGGGAATCCATCTAAGATCCGCCCAATTGTCGTTAGGTCCAGATTTGCCGGCCTCCAGGAAATTGTAGAAATAGCTTCCACAGTAAGCCTTGTAATACGCAACATAGCAGGATGAAAAAGAAATACTTACAACTCCCTCGAGGTATTGTCCCAAGACATCTGGGACAGCACGGGATCGGGCCGTACACCCACAACAACACAGTTACTGCACCCCAATCAGTAATGTTGACCACCACAGATGAAAAGGGTATTTCTGGGACTCACTTCCAAGCATTCTTGAGTGCCACACGGACCGCATCATGCTCTCCACACGACAGTTTCCAGAATGAAGGTCCCAATTGGGTACCCTGTAGCTTTTCGACAAGGAGATAGGCAATGCGCCCACCGGGAACCATGTCCGTAGCATCCTGACACACTTCCTTGAATGCCTTGATCTCGGGAGTTGACGCGCAACCGCTTATAGTCAATGTCTTGTAAGCATCGAGCATCTCTTAGCCATAACATGGGAGATTCGGAGAATCCTGGCGAGCTCTTTTAGTGCTGCTTGCGAATTCAGAGCCTGCGAAAGGGATTCTAGATTGGCAAACGTGATGGTCAGTATGACACTAGGAAAGAGGAGGAGTCAATCGACCAAGAAATACTGCATAGCGACCCTCATTAGAGCTTCGGTGCCGACGTTATTCACATCCTCGCACAGAAAGGTTCTGTACGTGCCACCCACAGAGTTTGAACAATCCTCGAGCTCCTCGGAAGTAAACTGAGTGTTCTTTTAGCGGAGTCTTCCGGTCAACTTCCAGCTAGAAGCTGGGTTGGTGAAGGAGATGATTCTGCCAATCCAACTTTTATGTAAGAGCCATTTGTTCTCCATAATAAGTTTACGAAGGAGGTATGGGGAGAGAGTGTAAAATGAGGCCAGGTAAAACCTACGAGATAAATGCTGGTAAGGCGGTCTACATGGAAAATTTTCTTTTAAGCATTTATACCTGGTGAAGGGCACTTCCAGAACAGCGTTGGGTAAATTTTTCTCGAGGGTAAGCAGACCGTTTTAATGCGAGCTTCGCTTCGCCGGGTTAAAACCCTCTACGGCGATCTCGACATTCCAGACGTCGTATGCATCACCGATTAGGGGATCTCACAACCGTTGGCGAAACGAAGGCCCCTTGAGTCATTCGCGCTCTCAGCCACTTAAGGCGGATTTCTTTACGAAGAAAAAGTAGCGCCAATAGAGGTTGCGCATATTTGAAAATCTTGTAATATTGCTCTATTCTGCTGATTATTAAGAGCAACACAGAGCAATCTTGTATAGCTCACTTTCTACTTCTTAAACCTATACTCGGTAAGCCCCCCTCAATAAATCCAGTGAGTGTGATCAATGGAAGTTAAATAACGTACCATTTATGAGATTGCTCTATGTATGAGGGTAGTCAACATGAAATTCGGATTCATATCCACCTGGGAGTGGACGACTCTTTTCTGTTAAGAGGTGGTCAATGGGCAACGGGAGCTTCAATATAGTCCTCCCATTGTTCACTCTGATGTTGCTGGAAACCGTGTGGGAGGAGTCATACTGCGTGGGGCTTTCTGGTGTATTATGAAGCCAGCATGGTATGATATGTTGAAGTCAGCATGACAATGACTGCTTGGCGAATCCCGGTTGTTGTATGTTTTGATATTGTGGATTTTTATCAATTTACCAGTACTGAGTTCGTGCGTTGTAACTTATAGACATTAAATAAATAAACTAATATGTAAACTTATATATGAATATAAACAATCCCTCTCCATCCCATTTGCGTCCTCCAATAATAGATCTCACTCAAACCGCCTAACCAGACTTCCTCTTCGGCACGCGCACCAACCAATACAACAACACAGCAACCCCAATATTAAACACACAATAAGCCCACATAAACCCAAAGTCCCGCCACCGATTGTCAAAGCTCACGTTTATTGACGACAAAAACCCATTCGTGTCGGTCATAGAACAGTACCGACAGTCCGTGCTGTTTGGGTCATCGAGATAGCCGCCCGCTTGAGACAAGTAATCAGATAGATAACTGCCGCATGTTGTGGAATTTGGCGCATTGAAGGTAATGAATTCGTCCGAGCTGCATTGGACAGGTGCGTTTGCGAGCGATGTACTGAGGAAGCCTTCGACGACGTAAGTGAACGGATTGATGCGGTACATGAAGATCCAAAAACCGGGGAGTTCTGTTGGACCGGCGAGGATACTTTTTGGAGTTAGTTGTACAGATATAGTTTATGTGGGTGGAGAACGTACCCGCAAAATGCGAACATGAGAATCATGAGTAAGTTTACGATACCACCAGCTACATCGGCACTTTCGATGGCAGCAATTACCATGTTTGCAAAGGTGCTCGTAAGCAGGAAAAACATCCACACATGCAAGAACACAGTGATACCCCGGGAATGGACCTGGTCCGTCCACTCTGCGTTGCGATAGAGGCCCATTGGGAAATACCAGGTAACGAAACAGAAAACTCCCACGAGCTGTCACAAGTCAGCAGGATCCACAAACTGTACGAAAGGTTAGATACTGACGGAATTCCAAGCAAGCTCCACCAGAATATTCGCGATCATAAATGCCTTCCACGAGTAGGCCTTAGACGGACGCTCCCGTGCCTCGTACATGGTCCGCTGAGAAACAAACACCGGAAGAATTTGATTGACCAGCTGAGGGAAAGTAGCCAGAAAAATGAAGATACCAAGCATTTGGTTTCGAAGGCCGCGTTGGGTATTCTCTGCATTTAGGAAGGACAGCCCTATGAAAAGTGTCTACCACATCGTCAGTAAGCTGGATCAATAAACAAGTGAGAGGAAGGGTGTCTACGAACCGAGCCAATGCCGAGAATAGCCTTGGAGTAAATGTAAGACGGGGTTCTCCAGTACTGCTGGAAGACGCGCTTCGTCACCTCGAGAAACTGGTCATTTGCTGGCGCTGCGAATTCTTGATAGGCAGAGGGGTCGTCGTTTTCCTGCTTTTGATTCGAACTCGAAAGTGCCATGAGCCCTTCCAGTTCAGCTTGTACGCCACGGTACTCAGGGCTGTTTCTCCAGACCTCCGGCCAGTCAATCTCCGTATGAGCACCAGGGGCGGCACCGATAACCTCAAGCATGTACTCGGCCGGATTTGCTCCCGGAGGTCTCGAATGTGCTCCGTTGCGGGTAAAATAGTCAACCAGCACTTGTGAATTCTTTCCAACGTCACCAAAATAAATCGTTCTACCCTTGGAGAGCAATAATAGTCGATCAAACCTCTGAAAAAGCATTGCGGATGGCTGGTGAATGGTACAGAGGATAGCTTGTCCATTTCTGGTAAGCTTCTCCATCAAGTCGCAAATTGACCAAGACGTCTGGCTGTCAAGTCCGGAGGTCGGTTCGTCGAGGAAGAGAAGGAGTTCGGGTCGAGCGGCGAGTTCAACCCCGATGGTTAGTCGCTTGCGTTGCTCGACATTGAGACCTTCACCAGGTACACCAATGAAAGCATCGGAGTATTCCTCCATGTTAAGAAGACCGATCACCGTGTCAACATAACCAAGCTTCTCCTGCCGGGAGTACCGTGGAGGCTGTCGAAGGAGCGCGCTGAAATTGAGAGCTTCACGAACAGTGGCGGTATGAAGGTGTAAATCTTGTTGTTGAACGTAACCAGTCTTTCGTTGAAACGAGTCATCACGAGCTTGGCCATCAACGAGCATTTCGCCAGTGATCACTCCCATGGTGACTCGACTAGCGAGTACATCGAGCAACGTAGTCTTGCCGGCGCCAGACGCTCCCTAGATACTCGGTCAACAAATTAAGAACTATCTTGCAATACAGCTTTGTGACATACCATTAGAGCTGTGAGAGTACCAGGTTTGGTCCAACCGTCAATGTGGTCTAGGATCCTGCGAGGCTCACCCTTGATCTTGATATCGTAACACAGATTCCGCCAGTGAAACGTGGACTTCTGCTTCTCGACATCGACTACTTCTTCATCTTTGCGTACAGCCTCTTCTCTGACGGGTTCAATTGCTTCGGTCTTCTCAATGTCATGTTGTTGTTGGCGTTTATGTTTGCTGACGACCTCTCGGCTGAACAAGAGGACCTCTCCCTTGGACCGCTCGGAAGCAACAAACTCGGTAGCCAGCAAGTGAAGCACCATATATCCAAACATAAAGGCGATCAGTATCCCAAAGTTGCGCCAGCGATGAGAAGGTTTATAGCCATAAGCAACATCCAGGTACGTCGTACCGCTCACGACGTCTTGTCCAGGAATCGCACCCTGCTGCAAACATGTCCGTGCACTTAACGCTACGAATTCATATCCAGTTCCTTGTGGCACAAAGGTCGAGCAGGTAAAGTCGCGCCCGTTGAACTCGTTGATCAAGGCGGCCTCGAGGGTGTAATAGATTGGGTTCGCCCATCGAGCCCAGCCAATCCAATCTCGCATGTATGCTGGAGGAATGGCGTAGCCCGTATACAAGACAAGACCAAGGAGGATAATCGACGAGGGAGCCAAGGCTTGGGCGATTGACTTGGTCGTAGACCCGATCAAACGAAACATCATCGACATGACAAGCGTTGTGATGAAGCTGATCAACAAGAAGAAAAAATAGGCACCCACTTCGCGACGGAGGTTTGTCATGAAGTACAGAACCGTATTGATCAAGATAGCGTTGACTATTTTGTAAGGCAGGTCCACGATCATAGATGCAAATGCTTCAGCACTCGGGTGATAGAAGGCATACCGGCTATGTTTCTCGACGATTTTCCGTTTCGCATACAGGGTCATGATTTCGAGTATGCTGCCAAAAGCGTTCATCAAAATAATGAAAAAGATGAGAAGGCCTCGCTTGTCAAAAGTGTCCGTGGTGGGTTGCAAGTTATAGAAAATGCTGCTGATAATGAGAGCTTCGGAGAGATTAGAAACCAGCATAGTGATCGTGAGACTCGGATCTATCTTGAGCAACACGAATCCTCGCCACATGTTGAGGCACAGTTGTTCTATATAGGACAGTGTGAATGGGGACCGTTTGCGTTGGAATTTAGATTGATCCGGGCGTCTCAACTCGAGGAACTTATCATAGTCCTTCCCATGGAATGGATGAGCCTGTAAGTAGCCTTCCACTTCCTCCATCAGCCTTTTCCGGTGTCGACTCTCCCTCCAAGCCACGGCAAACTCGTCTGGCGATCGAGGAGCACTATGCTCACAGCCGGGTTGGATTATACGCTCCTGGGGACTTGTCATGGAGGTCAAGAAGTCTGCCGTCGTTTGCTGCTCGGGACAGACAAAGCCAAGGCCCCCGAAATACGATATCGCTTCGCTGGCTTTGCCAAAGAATATCTGCCTGCCATGGTAGAGGAGTATGACTTTGTCGAAGACCTGAACAGAGAGAAAAAAAAAAAAAAAAATAGTTAGTTCCATTTGTTCTGAGACTTGCATCGAACATTCACTCACATCATACGCGTCTTGAGGCGCTTGGTAAATGGCAACAAATGATGTACACCCCATGTAATTGGCCTGCGTTCGAAGAGTGCGACAGAATTCCACGGCGTTTGCACTGTCGAGACCACGGGTACTGTTATCCCAACATTGAAGTGGCGAATAGCTCAAACTGGCTTCAGCGATTGTGACCCTCTTCCTCTCGCCGCCACTAACACCTCGAACGAAGTCATTACCCACGCGAGTGTTCTTGGTGTGGGATATTCCGAACATTGCCATAATGACATCGCGAAGGTGCCCTGCGTATTCATGTCGAGAAATTCCGTCGGGAATGTTTTTGGGACACCGAGCTCTGGCTGCAAAATAGAGAGTATCGCCAACCGTCATTTGAGGGAAATGATGGTCAACCTCAGCGGTATATATGGCCTCTCCTCGAAAGGCAGACTGCATCTGCTTGGGATTGATGCCTTGGTAGTTGATCGTCGCGTCGTCTGCCACGTAGAACCCGTGCGTATCGCCGGCGATAGTCTTCAGGAAGGTCGAGCATCCGGACCCGGGAGGACCAAGGACAGCCACCATTTCACCACCGTGTACAACACCCTCCAAGTTGCGCAGTATGTCGACCCGGTGCTGACGTTGGCGAAGCAGCTTCCCGATCATATTCCCAGCTTGGAGAAAGATGTTTCCAACTGTCTTTTGAAAGTCCATTTCGGTACCGTATCCATAGACGTCGAGATTTCTGAACGCCACGCCGGCCGTCTTCGGCGGGTTGCTATGGAGGGCGTTTCTTCTGCTTTCGAAGAATGACTTTGTCCATTTTCTGGCGTCGAAGTCGGGGTTATTCGGGTTCAGTGGACCGTCAGCTGGGACTGGGAAAAGAGCCCCGGGGATGCTGTGAGATTGACTGGTGAGTTTCCGAGCCAGGCCATGGATCCCGTCGCCGGTACTGTCGTCTTCGATAGAACTGTCATGACCTAAGCGTACTGTGGTGACGGTTGGAACTGAATCGCTGCATAACGGGGAAGGTGATGGCCTTTCGTTCCCAGATGGGAAGTCCTCCAACCCCATGGCGCCTGAAGTATTGAGCTCCGTGGACGATAGATTCTGCAAACAACGTGCTGAGGAGTGCAGGAAGAGCGAAAATGAACCAACGACAGCAATTGACCGAAAGACAACCTACCAAAACCAGAGCGTTGAAGACTTCTCTGGCCTTTATATTTTCGCTTCATGACTGTGCTGATATCCATGCTGACTCGTGTTTTCTTTTTGTTGAAGCCTGTATATATCTTTGGTGGTTCGTATTGTTAATTTTGACAGTTAAAAGTCCGAAAGACCGATGTCCGCCATCACAGCTTACCGAGCGAGATTCTTCCGCCCATTGTCCAAATCGGGAATGTGCGTCGGTATCGGCGGACCTTCGGACTTTGCCAAGACCCCCGCGACCCCGTGCAGCTCCGGCCAATCACCACCACGGACGTCGACCTCTACGGCTCTACCAGTTCCTCGAAACAGCTACTTTTGGAACTGACAACCGTGTAAACTCCATGACTGCCATCTGGTAGTACAGAGCTGATCTATGCTGTCTACGCAGTTGAACGACCTCTCGGTATGCCGGACAACTTCAATCGCGTGTGACATCATGCTAAATTAGATCTAGTGTACAGCATGCAAAGCGCGCAAGGTGCGGACTGATGTATACGTCGGCATATCGGAGAATTTCAAGACTAACTCATGGGCAAACTAGGTCCGCTGCAACCGGGTCAAGCCCCGATGTGACCGATGCGAGACCCGCGGTATAGATTGCTGTTATCCCAAGCGCGTCAAGAGACAAACCGCGCGTGAAAAGCGCGGAAGGTGAGCATCCTTGGAGCAATGACTCTATCAAATAGGCCAAGCGCACTGTCATTTACTGATCTTGATCATCTGGTGCTAGCCTGTCCCACGGTTCCAGGAACAACACTGTCCTAAGCACCATCCTAGGACGACTGCAGCGCTTGGAGGAGCAAAGTACCAGCAATTATTCCCACGGTACTCCTGATCCTACAGCCACGAGCGCCTCCGCAGTCTCTGCTACCCCGTCGAGCCATGTCGATTCGGACAAGTCCCCCGTGTCAATCTCGCCGGTAACCCGAGCCGACCCCTCAAAAATCCTCGAAGATGCCATCGATCAGATGCGAAGGTTCAAATTGCAGTTCTATTCGAGACAATTCATAACAGGAACGATCCACATTCCCACTGACTTAGCAAAGCAATGGCTCCACAGCAAGTTCTCTCAGCCATGATACTGTGCCTTCACCTGCTAAGTCAATAAACAGACTATTTTGCTCGTAATTCGAATGATCTTTTCCGAAGTCTTGTCAACAGACAATTGATAGAGATAATACCCGACATTATTGATCTTCCGCACGTTTATTTAGATCCTGTTGTGCTCATACTCTATTTTGCAATCCTCTACATCGGATGTGTGTTCAATGCGAATAACCTACACGCGAGCCAGGTCTCCCACTATGCCACCTCCTGCTACCTGGCGTGTCTACGAGCGCTTCCATACTGGCAGCGAGAGGTGCAGGGCTCTACAATGGATTTTGTCGCAGCCTTGTTCATGGTCAGTAATGCGCCCTTGGTTGTGGGCTTCATGCTGACAGGATGCTTTCGCGAGTTCAGGCACAGGTTGCATTGCTGTGCTCTGACGATGACTTAGCCTGGCAAATGCACCAGCACACGTGTGATTTCGCGCGAGCCTTGAACCTGCACAATCTCGACGGCGGCGACTACGCCGGATTTCGAGATGAAGCACGGTCCGACGAAGACCGACAAGGGTTTTGGCAGTTGATTCAGATTGATCTTTTTATTCGCCTGGTTTTGAACAAACCGCCTGTGATCACAGCAGATACATGGAAGGTTAACCTGCCTTGGCTCAACAATTCACAGCCTCCACCGGGTGATATACATGCGACGGCATTTATTATTCATTCGCGGATTACCTTGATCGTAATGCACTTCTTTGCGCTGCTAGACACTCAAGATGGTATGGAAATTGATAGAGCACAACGCTGCGCCGAAGATCGAAGCCATGAAATCAAAACTCTGTTGCTCGAATGGCAAGCCGTAAGTCCCTCTACTGTTTCAGCTGCAATACATCATAATCTAAGAAGCTCCAGGGAGATTGGCTCGTCGCGCCCTCTACCAACAAAGATGACGATTTTACTAAAATCGACGTTGTGATCACCGGCTACACCTTCATCATCTTCATGCTCCGGAAAGTAGGCATTATAGGGCCACATTTGACCAGCTCTCCAGCAGAAACACCGCAATTCTCATCCACACTCGTACTTGAAGCATCGCGTCGCGTGATTGAACTGTCTATCGACTTATGCTACATGTTCCCTTATCCGGAGGGCTTATCGATGGTACTGGTATACTATCGGATTGATATTGCTACTGCGCTGCTTTATTCTCATGTTTTGTATTCGACGGATGACCCTGCTATCGTGGAAGATATGGAGCGCCTTGGGAATTTATCAAGATGTGTCTGTTCTATTGCACATGGCTGTCGCGAGCTCACGCCTATTAGCAGGGCTGTGGAAACTCTCAACCGGATGATGACAGACCAGGGTGTCTCGGCTTAGAGCATTTATCTGGATCCTATCACGACCTGCACAGCATATTCGAGCACGACGATAAGAAAATCCATTGACATCTAATTATTGCGAACATCTGCATGATACCAATGCCATATATATACAGCCACTACCCAATCATGTATGCTTACGCTCCCTCGCCGCAGTCCTCGAATCCAACTCTGTCGGAAATGAACTGGTATGCTCCAACTCCGCCGGCTGCGCAAATTGCGGTTGCGGCACTTGCGTTGGCGCAACACCGTACCCATATCCATATTGATGAGGAGCCATCCCACCCATGGCCATCCCCGCCCCGCCAGCAGCAGCGGCAGCAGCACCCACTTTCAAATCCTGCAGCTCCTTCGCGGAAACCGCGCGTTGTTTCCTCTCCCAAGCTCCCCAGATTAATGCAGAGCCGGCGATAATACCAAGTGGGATGCCAAGACCGAGACCGATTGCGAGGTGGGTTGATTTATCGTCCGAGGAAGAACTGCTATTATCGCCGTCGGTGTTATTATCGGCACTGTTGCCGCTATTGGATGCATTCAATGCAGCAACACCCGGGATCACGGTTCCAGGAGCGACATAGAACGCACGATCCTCTGCGCAGTTGATATTGCTGCTATCGATGCTGGTGACACTACCGCAGCAGTACTGGTTTTCGAGGGCGTTAACCACCCTATACCCTGTTTGAGGGGCATGGCTCTCTTTTCTATTATCAGCATCTCATCACAGAACCTGTCTAATGGGAAGAGGTAACTTACGACACGGCTTCGCGTTGGCACAAACCCCCGACCATTTCTTATTCGTGCAACTCCCTCTCGAGAATGAGGGGCCGTTGCTACCCTGCAGATAGCAGAGGCCGTTAGACAGACAAATATCGCTTTTGCTGCAGCAGATTGAGGTGGATGCGGTGGTGTTGCAGGGAACATCGTCTGTCGCGACGTCTCCGTTGACGAAGTAGCAGGTTTGGGCGGAGACTGTTGATATTAGGAGGGTGACAAGGAGGAAAAGGAGGGGTCGGAGAAGCGGCGATTCCTTCATTTCGTGATTTTATCAATTATTTTCGTTATCTTTCGTGGTGTCGGCGAAGGTTCATTCAATGTATATAGCGGGGTATACTCCGTACTCTGTACAGCATCCGAGGATGTCACATACAAAAGACAAACCGACAAACCGACAAAACAACAAAAAGAAAACCAAAAAGAAAACAAAGCCCAAGAAAAATAAGCGTCCTCCCTCTTTAAAAACCCGCCCCAACCCAACCAAAATCCAGTAACGATCACCCCGAATACGAAGAATCTGCAGCAGCACCACTCAAACCGCCTCATTCGGCATTGCCAACAACCTACCCTGCATACGGAGTATAAGTACTACATGTATATGTGGCCGTACGACTACGGAAACTAATTCCTTCGCAGACCCTATGTCCTAGTACCCATTGGCTGTTACTTTCCCCGCCGGCCCATCATTCGTGGTGGGCCTTAACCGAGAGTGTAGATCAACGCGGTGCTAGGTTGTTTTAGGCTCTGATCGGGCGGCTGTGGCCGTGCGAGAGCCGCGCTACGAGTACTTGTAAGTGAAGAGTTCCGATTGAGTGGTGTGTTGATTTGTCTATTCTTGGCTGGGTCTATATGTACGCACTAGTATTGGGGACACGCAGGATCGACATCGGGAATCCGCCTTGTACCTCTGCGCTGGTTTTGAGTCGATCTATTTCACATGCACTAAAATTGGATTTTAAAAGAACCACAACCCTGGATCTAAAGTAGACCTCGATCTGATCTAAACAAATCCAATCCTAGCCCTATACCCCCCACCCCCAACTCGACTCGCCTCAAAGCCTCCCTCCTCCGCACAATCCCCATACGGATAGGGCTTTCCCAACTTCCCCACACCTAAACCCGAAGTATTCGTCCTCGGCGCCCAAAACGTCGCATCTGCCTTGGGCATCTTGCCACATCCACCTCCCGTCTCCGAGTTAAACAGGAAATACTCGACAAAACCAAGTTGAGAGGACTGGATTCCACCGGTTCCAGCGGGGAGCGTGTATGTACCGATATGCGTCGCGTTGCCCGCGACCGCATCGACAAGGGTTCCGGTCCAGGTCGTCCCGTGGGTATTCTTGATAACAAGGTTATACGGCCGTGAATACGGCGCGGGGACATCAACGGCACAACTAACCCCCGGACCACCATCGGCGCCACCACTGCAGTGCTCGGAATCCGAAGTCGTCGTGCCAGCGACGAAGCTCGAGAACACAGCGTGTACGATACTAGTCCCGTTCGCGGTATCGGATCGCGGCTGGAGACCCGTGTAGCCGACGTCGTCGACGCCGACGAAGCCGAACTGCTGCGCGAAGTACAATCCGTTTTCGTGTTTGGCGCGCGGAATGGCCATTGGGAAGGTTATGTCTTTGAGGCCGGAGGTTGAGACGTTGGCGATGGACCAGCCGAGGCCAATGTTGGCGGTTGCTAGCATGGGAAGGAAGGAGAGGAGTGCGGTGGTTTTCATGGTGAAGGAAGGTGATTTTGCAATTGTGTGTGAGATACTGGATAGGAGCTGATGGTATGAACGAGAGAATGGCTGTGATGGAAAATAGATGTTGGTATGATCCTCGAGCCTTTTATATTCATTTCTGACACCTTGATCGCATCTCGATCACTATTCTTCTCGATGTCGATGTTTCATCCTTAACCAACATCAAACGCCGCCAGTCTGAAGTATACAAGATCTCATATTTCGAGGAATAGAAAAGGAAGACTTAAGCGAAGACCCAGATGCCGGACCCAAGAATATGTGGAGAACCAACCACGACACGGCACAGGTACCGCCCAACAAGCGAGGGATCTACAAGGGTTCTGAAGAAGTTTGTCGATCTTAATTACAGAAGACGATACGATCGCATGACAGATCTGATGAATTCTTCGTCGAATCCAATAAGCGATGTTTCATGTTTCGCCAACGAGGGATTGGTTCGATCTCTTTCCCGGAATGGCAACATGTTCGATGGTACAGACTAATACGACCAACTTTAATAATAATGAGCCGCTTTCCGCTCCGCAGATTCCACCAGCCGCCGCTTCGCTCTTTGCTGATTCGCTACTTGTATACTCGCGGGTTTCGTCGGAATCCATGTCCTCCATGACATACGTATCGTCCAAGGTCATGTGAGCCCCGTGGCTAGCGGCATAGCTCGGTATCATTACCTTGGCTTTCTGCTGGGACCACATCATGGTTGCCCATGACTACTGTGACGTGTTAGCTGGGCTTTGAGTTGACTTCTTCTGGGACACCCTACTTTCGAATTGTCGTTGATTCTTATAAAATGCCAGACATGGCTGTCTGTGACAGCACCATACCCACTTGCGCCTTGCATTTTACCACGCCGTGATGCATGAATCATTGCTGGATGCATTGTCAGAAAATCTTTAGGAAATGGAATACAGACGGAGACATACACATACACTACCAATTATATAAAGCCGCTCCCCGCATCGCCCCTTGGCTTCACTTCCACCACCAGAAAGTTTACCTCCATGTCGTACGGGTTTCCGTACCATAATGCATAATCCATACCTCCTCTGAGAAATTGGAGTTTGCCCTGGTATCGGATAGTCATGCTCAGCCCATGTTCGAACTTCATGTGTGTGGAATGTGCCGAGCGCATCGACGTAATCGAGTCTCCACACCAAGGGCACGACGACAGACATACATTGTCTCCCAAGATGCTGTCACCAACCTTGCAAGGGTCTAGAAAAGAAACACAAACATACCCATATAGACGAGCCACAATGTAACGACGGGTCCTTGCTCTTCGAATGAGAGCTTAATTTCAGGAGATTCGCCGATGGCTTTTCCCGAATCTTTCAAAGTAAATCCCGGAATTTGGGAGAATTTTCCTCGTCGGGCGACTTAGGATGAAGGAGGAAATTCTGGAAGATGTACGTGACCTGAAAGGGTTACATCTTTTTAATAAAGCAGGCCTTGTTTTTTCTTTTTGTGGCAAAAGAACTTTCTGATCGATGAGCGGGTTTCGAGTCCGCGCGGAGGAATGGACATTAGTGGGCTCGACAGGTTCGAAGAAAAGAGTTTGATGAAGTGGTCTGGGGTTCTTAATTACATCGCGCCAGATAGACGATACGCGCGAGATGGCGGAGAATCCATTCAAGTAACTCTCAAGCGAATGGGATAAGGTGGGCTGCGTCTCGTTTCTTTGTTCTCTTGAACAACTTCCGCAGAGAGATCCGTGACATCTTGGAAGTTATCGTTGGCATGACGCGTTTCGAGATGTAGGAACGAAATGGGATATGGATGACAGCGGGCACTAGGTGCTGGATCCCGAGGCTAACCCTACTAGGAAGCTCCACGTGGGCCTCATATTCACCTGGAGATCAGTATCTTCTCTATTGAACATCTCTTGCGATTATACAATTTTCCGGTTTCAATACAACATTTCCCATAAAAAATGGCACTTGAAAAGGGCAAAGGCACAGATAACATTTTTTTTATTTGACTTTGACTTCGATTCGCTGCGGGGATGCTGTGGTGAATGCATTGTTTCGCTCTGATCCTGAAGGTGAGGTGATTTTGCTGCCTCAAAGAAGTAGCCATGTGCGGGAGAGACGCAGGTATAGTTATAAGATCGTTTTAAGTTCTTGCTTTTGTACGGTGGGATGGCGAACCCATTTTTGATTTTTTTGATCTGACTCTCCAATCCTCTCCTCGCTCTCTATTTCCTCGTATTGCAAATAATAGTTCTCTCAGGTACATATAGTAGTAAATAAGACAAGAATTCCCTCAGAAATACAAGAGAGATGAAAATCTGGAGGCGAAGGAAATAAAAAAATTGAGACGAAGGCGAGACAAAGAGAATTGGATGCGTGGGGATTCGAACCCCGGACCTGGGGTCAACCTAGACGAACGCTCTTCCCGACTGAGCTACGTGCCCTTTCTTTTGATATATGATACCCTGAAGTGAAATAAATAGGAAGTTCGCGGGTGCCTGGTTGACGGGAGCCTAAGGCCGGACTGCGCGAGGTTTGCGGGAAGCTGGTGTAGCTTGATTTGCAATACGAATGTGTTAATTCAACATTAGAGGAGTATACAGAACTTAGGAAAGCCTCCTGAAAGTCGTTTGAGACGACAATCTAAGAAGATAATTCAGACCGTAACCATCTGCTCCTTCAACTACTGCTTTGTTAAATGCTTCATAAGGTATGGTGTTGGATGCGGTAGGATCATACGATGAGATCCGGTGGCTTTGGGGGATTTTTTTGAAGGACATCGTGATGGTAGAGAGTATGTAAAAGTGTACGTGTTGACAAGATAATCTGCTAGTAAATCGGCGTGGACGATAGTAGAGGACGACCGGTGCCTGCTCGCTACGTCATTCAATTGAGTCGTCTGCCTAGTAAGTTAAATAAGAAGATAGAAAAGTTTCGCGAATATATACAGAGCAAATTGCTATCAATCCCGGCAAACAATGTCAATAACCAATAGAATTGACGGTACATATATCGCCAATCACTCCAATGTAGATTCTAGTCTTTCTGGCAGGAGTAAGACGGCGAGTTAACGACCAAATCTGTAGAAGCTTCTGTGGAGGAATCCACAGTCTCCGTGCTGGTCCGAATGTACACTTGACGCTTGTGCATAAGCGGGGACGCACCGGTGGCATCCATAACAAATGACACATCCCCGGAATCTTCTGGCGGTGACGCCAATTTAAAGGACGACGCCCAGTCAAGAACAGCTCCAGCTGGGTTCTGTGAGATTATTCCGCCTCCGCGGTCAGGGTCGCGATCGAACTCCAGGTCCTTTGGTCCGGCGGCCCCCGACAAAGAAATGATCTTCCCCAAACCAAATTGCATGCTTAGTAGGGCAGTCGAGGGGAGCAGGTGTATTATGCGGGCTTTCGGTACGAATTGTGGCTCACGGAAAAGGGAGACAACTAATAGGCAAGCAAACTAGGCATTTCATAAACTATGCATTATTTATAATACAGTCAAGCGTAACCACAGTTGTCTTTGATGCTTAGCATAATAGATTTTCGCATTCATTCTAGGGCCCTCTGGCGGTTCAACGACGACGCACTCTGGTCTTCTTGGCACCATTATCCCGCGTAGTTTCCTGCTGGTTAAACTCGAAGTCAATTACTGCGCGCATGGACGACGTGCGGGAGAGTCCATTCGAGCCTGTAGTATGCGGACATAGGCGTACGCGTCGAGAGATAGACGGTCATGGCATCCGTCAAATACTCCGCCTGGATTCGATGCATCCCTGAAAATATCCATCTACCGGCGACGCAAGCGGTCCTCGTCAAAAAAGAACTCCAACGTTTTCCAGAACTCAGCAACGGAGCTAGCCGTGGCTCCCGCGGAATAAGGCTCAATCATGCTCTGCGGGTATATAGGCGTAACAACAGACGGAATCTCAGTCATAAAGCAACGTTTCCTATCGCGCTCTAGGGCAATATCACTGGGTGATAACGCGTGTTCATTAGGTGAAGCAGGTGCGCTCCAGCTTGGATTCGACTTCCAGCCTGAGGTTAGGTTCCAGCCATATGGGCGCTTTATCCAGTGGAGGGGTATTGTGCGACAGCAGTCTTGGAGTGTGTCAAGATAATCATGTAGAACTCCGGTTTTGGCGTCGTTCACGATTTGGCGGAGTTTTGAGATGTTGCATACTTGGAGGCATGCCCAAAAGGTTGCTGGGACGGTGTCTTTTTCCGTGGTTTTGCGGAGGTCAGATAGGAGGTGCTGACGCTCGGGTGATGGGATGTTGAATGTTTCGTCGGGGGTGGTGGCAGATGTGGACTGATGGGACGAGGTATGTCTTGCGAGGTAACTTTTGAACCACATAGTGATTCTAAATGGTCTAGAAGAATGCGTTCATAATACATTGATGGGGAAAAAGGAGATAACCAGATGAGATGTGATAAGTTGGACTTAACGGTGGGTGCCTGCTGGCCAATTATGTTTGAACGTCATGCAATTGATTGCCTTTATATACAAAGCCAATTTCCACCCCAGAAGTGTTGAAACGGCAGCAATCACTCCTTCTGAACACGCTCCATCGGCCACTCAACCCACCCCCACAAATCAGCCGGCAAAAACGCACAAACCCCATTCAACACATGCTCCCCCCATCCCGTCATAAACCACACAGACTCCATATACTTCAACAGCCCAGCCCAATGCGCAAGAATCACCAAAGCAAGCGAATCCTTCCGTTCCAACTGCGCCACGAAATCTCGGGGAAGTCGGTATAACCACCCTATTAGGATGTGCATTAAGCCAACGGCTGGTTTGTGGAGGGAGCGTTTTAGGTATACTTCTTCCAGCGTGGATGTTAGGTTGTCGATGGCAGACAAGTACATGACGCGGTCTCCCGCGTCCCATGAATGTTGTAGATCGACGAGGCGTTGCAGTCCTTGGACTTGCGCGATGTGTTCTTGTAGTTCGTTTTGCATTGGCGGGCTCATGTTCGCAACATCCGAGCTTGGCTTGGGCTCTAAGATCCCGCTGAACACCTTACTATGGTGTGATTCCAGAATCAACTTCACGCCGTGCATAAGCACCAGCCACTCCGCAGGACCGTTGTCGCTGAAGACAAGATACTCCCCTGGCCGGGGTCCTCGGCCAAAATATGCAAAACAGATCATCACGGCGGATATGTACACTTTTTGACATGTGTCTGCGTTGAGTTCGGAGAGCACAGCTGTAACGGACTGGACTCCGAATGTGAAATGGTCGTCGGCTTGTTGGAGGTACTGCTCCCGCAATCCTGGCTTTTCGTGACCCATGTGCAGCGCTGAAAGAGCCAAAATAAGATGTAGAATTGAAGGGAACTCAAAAGCCCATTGCGCGACGTGATTCTGCCAGACAGCGCGTCCATGCTCGTCGTCGACTGTGGTGGGGATTGTGGAGACGAGAAAGTGGTGGAAGAGTTGGAGGTCAGGCATTGAGATAAAATCCGTACTTGCTTCTGTAGATACATCTTTATGCTGCGTTTCTGTAGACTTCAGGGTTGGTGATTGGGCCGTTCGCTTCCAGATCTCAGTTGTATATTGAGAGGTGCGGAAGCGGTACTTCTTTTCTCGAGGGCACCGTTCGGTGGGTGATAACGATCCGGATGCAGCAGAAGATACTTCGGAGCTTCCACGCGCGGAGAAGATACATTCGACCTCATGGTTGGCGCAATTGGTGCAGATGGGCTTTTTCTCGTCGCACTGGCAGGTGTCAGTGTCGGTGCTCACGGATGGAAGACGGACCCTGCGCTGGGGAAAGCAGAATAGCGAGAGTAGGCTATCCAGCATGATTGAGGATTCCGAACTTCAACAATTAAATTGACAAAAAAAAAAAAAAAAAAAAAAAAAAAAAAACAGGCGTGAGACCGGGGACAAAGTGGGCTATCAATGTATGAAATACTGCGAGCAAGAAAAGGAGACAGCCACCAGCAAGCCACTCACCTTAATACGCCTCCGCTTACAATTACTGCATCCCGAGCGCGATTTTTGATGTGTACGCCTTGATTTCACAGGCCTCATCATTGTCTGGAGTGTTGAAGAAGTCTCGTACTTCGTAGTCGTATTCGTTTTCTTTTATACCCGATTTGGGTGTGGGTCGGGAAAAGGCAAAAATAGAAGTCTTGGATTTTTCCACAATTCTTGTCCAATTAAGGGCTAACGTCTTTTGTGTTTTGGGAAGTCGCGGCGAGACAAGAATGGGTGATATTTTTGACGGGGAGAGCCGATGCTCAGGGGGGGTTTCCTGGGTTTCAATGGTTTGTTTCTGTGTTTTCTCGATTTTTTTTACCATTGGGTGGGTGGTTCTGGTCTTATATATAGTGCGGTTGCTATCCACATATATATCTAGGATGAAATAAATAAATGCTATACTACAATATGCAATGACATGGATGACCATACGCTATATCTCCCTCGAACACACAACCTCCTCAAAAACCTCACAAACCCTCTCTCTATCGCAAACTTCCCTCCCCATTATCTCCTCCCCCTCCACCCACCTACCCTCCTCAACCCTCTCCCCAACCCCCTTCCTAAAACCCCTCCTCAATCCCCGATAAGCCCCCTGACTCGGATACGCAACCAACCCCATCGTCGCACTCCCCGTCTTAACCGTCAAACTAACAAGCCCCTTCGTCAAACCCTTCGCAACGCCCAGCGCACCCTGCTCTTTCTTCGAACGGTACGTATGCACGAAGATATCTGTTACGCCTTCGTAGACGCCGTGCATGAAGGTGGACCAGGCGACTAGAGCGCCAGTTTCCAGGGATGTTATCGGAGTGTGGTTGCGTACGGGGTCGCCGTAGAGGCGCGGGAGAGAGCGCATGCCTTCTGTTGCGGCGAGGGGAAGGTCGAGGAGGGCGCCGCGGGAGGCGCGGCCGAGGAATTTGCCTAGGCTGGTGAGAGAGAGGAGGAGCATTTGGCGGGCGTGGTTTGGGTTGCTAGTTTGGGGGTCTGTGGTGGGTGTGTCTTCTGGGTTTGATGTTGATCTATGGCGTTTGTATTCGCGGTATGGGTCGAGGATTATGCCTGCTGTGGCATCTGCCATGCCGCTCATTGTTGATAATGAGGCTGATGAGATGGCTGTGAGAGGGTCCCACCGTCGGATGTCGATTACGATGGGCTTTGTTTCGAGGCTACCTTCTGTTAGCCCTGTCTGCATTGCCGCGTACTGTCGTAAATACTCACCGTTTCAAATGCTTTCTCTGAAGACGTCTTTCACGTACTAAAGCACAAGCTGCCAGTTTTGATAATCGCACTGTTGTTTTCCCCCGTTTGATCCTCCAGGCAGCAGGTTCATCTGGAAGGATATCGCACAGCATCTCCTTTCGTGGGAGATGAGCATGGAATGAATCGACTGCAGCCCGGACTCCAGATTCACTATTCATTTTTCTAGCCAGAGCCCGGGCTGTAGTGGAAGCAGAGGGGGCCAAACAGAACTTGATTGCATCCGCCAGGTTCTCTGCCGTGAGAGACTTTTGTGGAATAGGACTCGGGCCTACGCCTGCGGAAGCAACGATGCTTCCCCAGAATGCTTGACTAAACAAGACATCAATGATTGACCTTTCCATGCAATGATAAGGGGACCTTACTCTCCAAAAAACGGAACAATTGTGGTTGGCTTCCCGTACCGCAACCCACAAGCGGTCGTGCCAGCGCCGCCATGATGCACTACAGCAGCCACATGCTGGAAAAGCCACTCGTGAGGACAGTCTCCGAGGAAGTAAACATTCGAATTCCCGGGCGCTTCGAAGTTAGACCATCCACGGGAGATGATGGCTCGCACACCGGTGATTTCGACGGCTTGTAGTAGAATGGACAGCATCTTCTCTGGATCTTCGACGATGATGCTTCCAAAACCGATGTAAATTGGTGTATCACCAGCATTAAGGAATTCGACGAGGTCTCCTGGTGGATGGTAGGCTGGTGGATCTCTGAAGAAGAATCCACAGACATCTGATCTCGTTAGAATTGAAATGAGGTGGTATGAGAAGAGCTGACCTATATGAGATCCCCAATCGGGCGGTTTTGCAACCAACGCTGGAGACCAGCAATATGTAAACGGTACTTGCAGCGTTTCCGCAAGGTTCGGCCCTTCAGTAGCGGGCACAGGTTCCAACTCAAGGACATCTTTACGCCAGCCATTAATCAGATCCGCTAGACTGCAATCACACAAGTTAGTATGATAGTTTGTTAATCTTAGAAAGTAGCATACCCCTGCCAAGTCATCCACTCAACAAAATGATACGAAACCAAATTCCCCAAACTCGGATCACTCCCCGAATAACTCAAATTCGCCAACGGATGCGGAAACTCCCTTGTACTCGTCCACGGCATAGTAAACATAAGATGCACAGGAACACCCAACGCCTGCGCACAATGCACATGCGCGAAACTAGGCGGATTCGCGATAATTGCATCTGCCACAAACGGTTTCCCAGAATGCGGATCCGGTTGTATGCATGACTGCCAGCAGCCATCGAGGATCTGTGCGATTATGGCACGTTTCTTTTGGATGTCGCCTGCCCGCACGCTTTTCATGCTGGGGATTAGACCTGGGTTACGAACCATGTAGGACATTAGTTCGGCGGGGTCCCCGTCGAGTGGGTAGAATTCGAGACCGGTGGTTGTGACGAAGTGTTCGAAAGTGGCGTGTGTGGCTAGTCGGACGCGGTGGCCGTGTTTTTGGAGTTCTGTGCCAAGGGCGATGAATGGTTGGACGTCACCGCGGCTGCCGACGACTTGGATGACGATGTTGAGTTTGATGCTCCATGTTGGGTGTGGTCGTGGCCTAGAGGTTTCATGTTCGTCTGTGGGTTGTCTGGTGCTGCTGCGGCGCATCAACCATTCCACGTTCCGGCTGAACCTTTGTCCAACTCGGACGTCTACACGTCCGTCATTGGTAGTAGTGACTTCTGGAAGAGGCGCGGCAGGATACGGCGGGACGTCTGAAGGAGACAAGTCCTCTGTTTCGGGGCTGGCGGGGGAGATCGCCTCGTAGGGAGGGGGGTCCCGGTTGTCGTTAACGGGATTTGCCATTTTAACCACTGTTGTATGTTTTTGGTTCCCCCAGTTAAACTCCGGAAAGGTAAGTTATGAATAGTGACAGTCAGAGTCAGCTAAGGAGAAAGAGGGAAATAGAAAGAAAGAGAATTTTAACGCGAACAAACAATCAAGATACTAAAGGTCCATGTGAACATTTCACCTGTAGATATCCATGGAATAACCTCATCAGCCCCGTAACCCTTTCATATTAGCGCTGTTTATCCGAATAACGTCCGGAAGCACCAAATATAGAAGGTTTCAACATAGATAGACTTTTTTTCAGAGCCCTAGAGCGGGTTCCGAACGGCGCTAATGCCGCATACCGAACATCATTCCGCTTCTGGACTTCCTGCTTGAACGTGATTGGGCATCAGCTTACGAGTACGATAGAATTACTTGATTGGGTTAGTGCTGTCCAGGTATCAGAAAATGCATGGTTTCCATTTTGGGATGGCAGGTTGGTTCTTAAATCCGGACCCCTCTTCATTTCTGACCGGACATTCTTTTCATTCAAACAAAAAACTACTACAATATTGACTACTGCTTATACATCCATTTCCACCCTCAAGCAGAACGCATCTCATCACATCCCACAAGCCCCAACCATGAAACCAACCAACCCCAAACTCGACCAATACTGGCACAACCCCGGCCCCTGCGGCCTAATAACCCGCACCGCCCTCCGCACGCTTCAGTTCACTCTCGCCATAATAACCGCTGCCCTCTACGGCATCGACCTCGCACACTCCACCACAACCTCCACGCCCGCCAACTCCGAATGGATCTACGCCGAAATCGTCGCCGCTCTCTCTGCAATTACCTGCATAGTGCACTGCTTTGTGACCGTCACCCGGGTTGGATGGTGTACTTGGGACTTTGTGCTGTTTGTGCTGTGGATGGCGCAGACGGGTGTTTTTGGGAATATTTATGTTAGGCGGGATGGGGGTGTTGAGGGGGATTATGTGCGTGCTACGGGGAGTTTGGGGAGGATGAGGGCGGGAGTTTGGGTTGGGTTGGTTTGTATGGTGCTTTGGTTGGGGACGTTTGTGCTTGCGGTGGGTTGGTGTTGTAGGACGAGGAAGGTTGTTAGGAGAACGGACAAGGACAAGGAACAGGAACAGGAACAGGAACAGGAACAGGAGAAGGTTGGGGATGAGGAGAGGGGGGTGATTTATGCTGAGAGTGAGACCGATTATATGAGTGAGGGTGACTGGGACAGTATCAAGAAGGCGGAGAAGGGTGAGAAGGGTGCCAAATATTAAACAAGATCTATGCTATTTTACATAAGTTACATCCATGACGCGTATCCCGCCATCTCACCCAAAGATACCATCAACAACTTATAATTCGTTCTCGGCAGTCAAGCGGCGCTTGTAAATTTATTATGGGGTCATCGTCCTTGCCCTAGTAGATGTGTATGCCATGATGTCATGCCTTCGCGGGGTGACCATTCAAGAACCCCGCATGCATGAAAACTATACAAATACGGAAATGTGCAATACAGTGTGGAATATACAGAGTACAGAGTATGCGCGTGGGTCATGCGAAATGTGTACTCTGTAGTCCATAGAAAATGCTGAAACAATGCACTGCCTAGTACGACGCGCATTATGAGCCGATCTGTACCAGATACATGATTACATCATAGCTCGGAATTCAACAAGATGTAAATAACTCGCTATTCCGTCTGAGATCAATCACAACCATCAACATAATACTACCATATACAATCAGACAAAAATGAGTACAGCAGTTGACAAGCAAGAACTTCTCCGGTATGTCCTCCACTATCGCATATCCGACCGGAACAGGTACACTAACAACTACAGTCTCGGAGACTGGATGCCCACAGACCCCAGCGTCCAGCAAGAATGGCTCGCAAAGGTCATCTCCGACGCAGATAACGAGCCCCGCGACCTCCATCCCGTCCTCCGTGAATTCGGCGAATTAATCGAGACCGACTCCGTCGTGAACGACCTCTTCACCTCGACTTTCAAAGAACTCCCGAACAAAAGCTTCTTCAGCAACAGACAAACCCCCAAATCCCCTCCGATCCGGGACTACAAGCATTTTCTACGAGTCCTGGACAAGCTCCTCACGACCGCACCGACATGGACCGACGTCCACAACCGAGTCGGGGTAGTGGGAATGCCGATCAACGCGGTCCTCGATTGGCCGCTCGGTGTATCGAGCGGACTCACGGCATTCCTGAACCCCGCTGTAAACGGGATAATAAAGAAGGTTCTTAAAGCGTGGGGACAGTTTCTTAAGTCGCCTGAGTCGGCGGCTGTGCTTAACGACACGGCGACCGGGTGGCTCGGAGAGTCGGCCATGAAGGCTCTCACTGAAGCCGCGAACGTGAGTGGGGGGAATTATGGCTTTGATGAGGTTTATGTTTGTGATGCGGCGGAGGTACATTATGGGTTTAAGTCTTGGGATGCGTTTTTTACGAGGCCGTTGCGGGAGGGTGTGAGGCCTATTGCGGGGGCGGATGATTCGAGTGTTATTATCAACCCATGCGAGTCGAAGCCGTATAGGGTCGCGCATGGCGTCGGTGGTGGTGAGAAGCTTGATGTCAAGGGTACGCAGTATTCTCTGCCGAAAATGCTGGGAGACGATCAACTTGCGCAGCCGTTCATCGGTGGTACCGTGTACCAAGCCGCCCTCGGCGTCTTGGGCTATCACCGCTGGCACGCACCGATTAGTGGAAAAGTGTCGAAGACATACGTTATTGAAGGCACATACTATGACCAAAACCGCATCAACACCGGCGGCAGTTTTCTCTCCAAATTACCCGGAGCAAGCTTCTTCGGACAAGGACAAGACACTGATCCCCAACCCGCGGATGTCACGGCCACAGCCACACGAGCGGTAATCCTGATCGATTCTGATAACCCAAAGATTGGACAAGTAGCCTTCCTGGCAGTCGGACTGGCGGAGGTATCAACATGCGAGATCAATGTCAAAGAAGGTGACACTGTGAGCAAGGGAAGCGAACTTGGAATGTTCCACTACGGTGGATCAACTCATTGTTTGCTTTTCAGGCCAGGAATCAATTTCCGCTCCTTGCCTTCAGAGTCGGCGGATACTTTGCCTGTGAATGAGCAGTTGGCGGTTGTTTCTTAGTGGTCTTTAGCGGTTGTATGATGTTTTATTTATGTGCTACGTACTATGTAGTTTAATTCGGTTTTATATATGAAATTGATCTTTAACGTTTAGGTAACTATTCAAAGGATCAAAGCACTATTATCACGTAATGCCATTCACCTTTAGCGGCTAACCTGAAGGAGAAACCTGCTGTCCTATTCATCACCGTCCATCAATTGACCATCAACTCATCACTAGCTCAGACTACATCTGTCCTTTGTAAGCCCAAATGGAGACCGGTTCTGCTGCTTACTAGTTTCTCGTCTGGGGCTCTGAGCACGTCCATTAATGACACAGGAGAGTACCGTCAGGTAGATCACTATCATTTCTAGTCTCTGTTATGCTTGTCTGCTTTTCACTACTTGTTTGTACAATGCTGCAATACGTTATATGTATGCTGGCTTCCAATACCGTTCCCGAACATCACGAGAGGTCATTTCGAAAGCACAGTATCCAACAAATAGCATACAAAAAGCCCAGTTTTCTGCTGAAGCTATTTGGACTCGGTGCGAGAGACGGTATACACTGGCCACTTTCGACGTGGGTCATCGACTTTCGACAGTTAGACGAATACATTTCACCCAGCGATTCTGTGATAACGCAAGAGGGCCTACGCATTGGTTTGTCAAACGGAAGTCTAGGCTCTCGAAGTGAATGATTAACGGGTGCGCTTTATTTGTCTCTTGCGCTATTCAGTAACATATCCTTTTGTGCACTCTATACAAGGAAGTGCGACGTCAGGCAAGAATTGAGCACTTGGTCTGAAGCAAGGTCCCTCCAATCTAAACTGAGATGGACAAGGAATATGCGGGTTTCCCGAGGCACTTTACGCATCAAAATTCACCCGGTTTCAACCAGCAATAAGACGAGCTTATTGCCGACATAATCATCCAGGCCTTTCATTAGTACCAGCATTATATGCCACAATCCTGAGCACGAGCGCTTGTGTGAAGTGCCCCCGTAGGCGCGGACTCGTTTTCCATGGCGGGTCGTGCCCTCGTCGTCGCTTGGGGGAGGCGAAGGGCCACACTTTATATTGTTAACATATATTAAATGAACTATGTCCTCTCAAAATTACCTTTCGTTTGTACTATTTGGTTTTTTCTAGCTTTCCGATATTGATTAGATTGAATCAGCTCAGGGATCTGACTGTCAGCCTATCTTGCTATTATATATTATTGACTACATGATATTCTCCTCGAGAGGCTACCTAGTTTAGATATGAACACTATTCGTTTTATCTACTAGTATCGAGCCGTTACACAGGATATACTAGCTCAGAAGACTGCATGCAGCCCACGGCCGCGAAAGCCTGAGGGATTTACTACTACTACTCTCAAACCTGATGGTAGCATCAGATTGTTATGTCAGACATAGACCAAAAACATCAAAACTACAAATCAGTCCGCTCATGCCATTCGGCACCTATCACATCTCCTGACCATTTCTCCTTTTCATCTTCAACCACCGCATCGGCAATCTTTTCGGCCAGCGCATCTAATTCCAGTTAGACATCAGGCTCCAAAATAGGGAGGTAAATAGGATAACCTACAAATAGCACTTTGTATATGACTCGGAGGGAGGAACGGTAGGGCCCTGGAGAATATATTAGTCCCCGTCTCAGGCTTGGTATTCGGAGTATGTATGGGGGGAAAAGTCAACATACGAAGCATCAACAACCCTCACTCCATTAATCCCGATCACCCGTGCCTTACTATCCACAACGGCTTTGCTATCCGGCGCCTCCGGATCCCCCATTGCACAAGACGCACCGGCATGGTAGAATGCCAGTCCGTCTTGCTGGATATACTCGAGGATCTCTGCATCAGTCTGCACTTGATGTTTACCAGGGTAGGCCTCTTCACCAAGAAGCACAGGGGCTAACTCCGGGACCGCGAAGATCTCCCGGATGCGCTTGAAGGCGGCGATTGCAACTTGCTTGTCTGTCCAAGAACCCAGCGTATTGGGGTGTATCACAGGATGGTTGTTTGTGTCTGCCGAACGGATCGTCACATTGCCCACCGAGACGGGGGCTACAAGGGCGGCGGTGATGGATGCGTACTGGTAGCCGTCTCTGGGCTGCCTGCCCATTGGGTCATCGAAATTGCCGAGATACATGGGCGAGGCAATATACTTGAGCTCGTTAACAATGATCAGATTTTATTAGAAAGGGGGGGGGGGGAGGGGGCTCACTTCAACCTCTGGCCAGTCGTCCGGGAATGCTGCAAGATCATCCAGAGCGTCTGCGGTGAACGTTGTTCGCAAACTATCAGGGATCTTTTCAAAGGCACCAAAGTCACCCGCATTGGCGGTTAATGGTCCTTGCTGGTGCTTTCTATAGTCATCAACGTACAGTCGAAGCATTCTGAAGCCATCGTTGGCCCATTCAGTCCAGGTTGGGACGTTGACGCGGTACGCGGCTCCAAACCAGACATGGTCAACCAGATTCTGTCCGACGTAGGGACTCTCATGCACGATTGGAATACCAAGGGACTCTAGCGTATCTGCGGGGCCGACGCCCGACACCATCAGTAGCTGAGGGGACTGGAACGCTCCAGCGGAGAGTACCACTTCCTTGTCGACGGAGAGGGTATACTCGGCACCGTCCATCTCGACCACTATTCCTGTTGCGGTTTTCGCATGGTCAAAGAGGATTCTCTTAGCTAATGTCTCAGTGTACACAGTCAGGTTTGGCAGATCCTGAGACTCATCCAAATATGTGTTCTCAGACGATGCCCGTTCTTGCGTCTCCGCGATGACGGTGAGTGGGAAATACTGCGACCCGATAACCTGGCCGCTGTTGAAGTCACCCACATCGCCAATGCCAACTGCCTTCATGGCTTTTTGAATCCAGCTGCAGAAGTTAGCTTGAGACGGCTCGAGTTCATGGTCCCCAGGGTAATTATGAATTACCTTGAGATGGGAGACGCCCAGTTGGCGTAAGTCACCGTCAACGGACCGCCATCTGTAGAGAAAGCATCGGCGTTGTATCGCGGCGTGGCATTAGCAGCTCGCCGAATGGGATCTGGCGCTGTGAAATTGGTGCTTTTCTTGAAGTACAGTTCGAAGCGAGACCATGCGTAGCTCTGGTCTCCAACATCGTCGGCCCATTTCTGAAATGAACCAGCGGGTGCTCGTTGGTATATCATCGCACTGTTCCCGTTAACATCATATGTCATGCGATCAACCTCCCCAAAATCAAGTACGTGAATTGAAAGACTTACTTGCGTGCACTAGAGCCTCCCAAACACTTCCCACGCGGATAACCAAACACCCTTCCTCTCATACCTGGCTGAGGCTCGACTTGAAACCCCCAATCATTAACCGCATTGTTTGCAAACCCAAAGGCCGGAGTGGACGAGATCACCAGCTCAGAGTCCTCGTACCAGCCGCCTGCCTCGACAATGGCGACATCGTACCCAGCCTGCGCCAGTCGGGTTCCCATGGGAATGCCGGCTGTGCCCCCTCCGACAATCACATAGTCGAAAGAGTTGTTCCCAGTGCGACCGGTGATGAAGGCCTCTGCCAGGACAAGTAGAAGAAGCACAAGGAAGGGCGAGAGCATTTCTTTAATTTTTTCACTTCTTCAAAGTGAACTTCGGAGAAAGCATTTGTGGTGGTGCGGTTGACCTAATTAATAGAACCTTTTTTTTTTTCAACAATTCTTTACTATGTATCCATCTTGGTTTGGATTTTTCAGATGATAATTCATTCCATTCACATCCGTGTCCATAAATGTCCGCTCTGAGGAGAGCATTCAAATTCGGAGTACACTGGTGCATGCATAGCCTTGCTCATCTTTTCCGTACAATTGACCGCTGAAGGAATAGTCTAGTCTTGGCCTCCAAATTTATTGACTCCAGCGAAAAATAATTGAATTCATCTTGGACCAAAATGGAGATGAACAGCAGACTACAAACTACCTCCAACTCCGATGTTGTTGTACATCATAAGGACCATCGGAGTTGGATTGTCGACGGAGAAGACGGGCAGTGTTCACAGCGCATAATTGTTATCCAACGCGTGGTACATCGTTATAACTTATTATATTACTGGCGTGATATCAGCCGTGTTCATCAACTCAAATGATTTACAACCGAGTGAAGTCTACCGCAAATTCTCTGTTTCGCACACCCTTTCTCTACAAACCAATACCAAGTCAGAAAAGATGGGTCCAATTAGTCCAACCATCGTCCCCACTGGTGGCCTCGTCCTGGTCACGGGAGTCAATGGCTTTCTCGCCTCTCACCTGGCCCTGAACCTTCTTGAACGCGGCTACAAAGTACGAGGCACGGTGCGCTCCCATGACAAAGCCGACTGGATCCGAGAAGCCGTGACAAAACGCTACCCCAATGCCTCCTTCGAGGTGGTGGTTGTTCCCAACATTTCTGTTCCGGGGGCATTCGACGATCCCGTGCAGGGCGTCGACGGTGTCGCCCATGTAGCCAGCGACCTGTCATTTGGCAACGATCCCAACAAGGTCATCACGCCCATGGTGGAGGGCCTGAGCAACATCCTGGCCAGCGCCGCCAAGGAGCCCAGCGTCAAGCGCTTCGTGCTCACCAGCAGCGCCATTGCCGCTCTGACTCCACAGCCCGGAAAGGAAATCCATGTCGACGTCAACTCATGGAACGACAGCAGCATCGAAGCCGCGTGGCGGCCTGCGCCCTACGAGCCGGAGCGGTGCTGGGACGTCTACGCGGCACTGAAGACGACCACCGAGCGCGAATTCTGGAAATTCGCCGAGCAGCACAAGCCTGCGTTTGTCTTCAACTCTGTGCTGCCGGATTTTATCGTCGGTCCTATCATCCACGCCAAACAGAATGGTAGCACCGGACGCTGGGTCAAGGAATTCTTCGATGATCCGGTCAACTACTTCAAGCCCCTGCAGACTTTCATCCCGCGCCACTTTGTCGATGCTACAGATGTCTCGGTGTTGCATATCGCTGGATTGACGCATGAGGACGTGCAGTCAGAGCGGTTGCTGGCCATGACGGGCCCGTTCAACTTTAACAGTTGGCTGAGCGCATTTCGCAAGATTGATCCGAGCAAACCCTGGCCCGCGGATGATCCAAATCAGGTCCATGATCGCAGTATCGTTGACACTGCCAGGCCCCAGGAGCTGTTGAAACGGTACGGTCGTGTGGGATTTACCTCTTTCTTTGAGACCGTGAAGGATAATTGCTTAAACAGTGATCCGGAGTGGAAGCGGTCGAACTTTCCTTAACTGGTGCTCTTAGACGGACTAGGAATATGTATGTAAAGATGGATTGACACCAATGAGAGCATGGAGATTATGTCGAGTATCTTCTAGTCAACAAAAATACACTTGAATCAAGTTACCACCGTTAGAAAACCTCCAGATGTTATACCTCCACCGCATTGTTCTAGGAGTGTTCAGGGCGCCTTCTCGTTTTGCTCAAGTCAGGGCAGTCTAGGTATCATCCTTCCCCCAGCCATTCTCCATATCTTTTTTATTTTACTTTTTCGCTTTCATCTCATCCGAATTAATCAACCGTGTGGCATATTCGCCACCATGTCTTGGTTCATGCAGCGTTATTGCTACAATCATTGTATGAAGCGTATGCTTATAAAAAATCTCGATTAAAAACAATCTTAATACGTATCGATTTTCATTTCACGAAACACAATAATTAACGGGGAACTAAAGATGTCTTATACATAGCAAATCTTCATCTAAACGATTTTCCATTTGTATTGCATCATCGCAGTCTGCCCATCCCATCCTATCCGGGCCCTACTCAAGCACTCTGACTACCCTCCTCGACCTCCTTGGCCTTCTTCGCTCTCTTCCTCCGTTCATCCTTGATCAAAAACATTAGACTCAGCAACAACCCCAAGCCAGCCAATCCAACCTCAAAGTAAAATGCCGCGCGATATCCTCTCTTCTTATCCTCGTGTGTATCACCACCATTCTTGATCTCCCTCTCCACAGTTCCTGCAAACCCCAGTCCCAAGGAAATACTATAGTTAACTAGCGTCATTACCACGCTGGCGCCGATTCCCTGATACTTGGGTGATACCGCGTCCGAGAAGATAATCGTAGCCGCGGGGAATGACGAGTCCATGCCCACACAAATAATCAGCACACTCCAGAAAAAGTTTCCCCAGTATATCTGGTGCGCTGGCATGGTGGCTACCAGAATCGATCCGATCAGATACGAAATCATTCCGACGACCATGATCCATGCTGCGGAGACCCGACCGAGGAGCTTGCCTACTGCCAACGCGGAGGCTAGGCCAGAGGGGATGACAGGGCTGTACCATGCTGCCAGAAGTAGGGGGCTGACATTGGTCATATCCATGACGAAGACTGCGGCGTAGTATACCTGATTTTTTTCATTAGCGCGGGTTCTTCTAAATAACAGTATAGCCAGTTGTGGTGATTCCCACTTACCCATATTCCGAACACAGCCCATCCACATGCCGTGCAGCCAAGTACAAAGGCAATGTCCGCGTTGAACGCGGAAAGCGGCAGAATTGGGTTTGCAGCCCAGTACATTTCAACCCAGAAAAATGCAGCACCAAACACGAACCCAAGGATCAGACACACATAGACGTATGGCTGCTGCCAGCCCACTCCCGCAGCCTGGTTCCATGCAAAGTTGATAAGAATCAGCGAAGCAACACCAGTCATACACCCCAACGGGTCGAGATGCATGATCTTCTCACGGGTAGTCCTCCCAGACGGAGGGGACTTGGGCTGCGGTGGAATCGCCCACGATGAGAAAACAGCCAGACATGCCAGTGCAATTGCTGCACTCCAATATGCCCAGGGCCACCAGGCAAGGGCAAACAGACCCCCCGTTGCAAAACCCGAGATAGCACCAAAGGGAGCACTGCCACCGAAAAAAGCAAAGGCCATGTTCTTGCGTGGGCCGGGAGCATACGACTGGCCCAGGATGGCAATGGCATTGGGCAGCGTCATGGCAGGCCCCATACCCTGGAAGACACGGGCGATGATAAATAGGATCTGGTCTGAGTAAACGGCTAGTCCGGTTACCAGCGTCCAGAGGGCGTACCAGCTCATGCCGATGATGAACATCTTCTTGTGGCCGAAGTCGTCACCCAGACGGCCGGCGATCAGCACAAATGTGCCAATTGTCAAGCTGTAACCAGCGATGAGCCATGAGAGATCGTTGGAATTGGTCAAGTTGTACCACTCGCCAATAATGCGCACAATGTCCATGGATTGACCGAGTCCCAGCTGATTGGTATACATAGCTGAGCAAATGGTGGCGATGAAGATGATCTGGCGAGGGAAGGAAAGGGTGTTGGCAATGTAGACATGTTCGTCCTTACTTTCGGGCATTTTCTCATCTACAAGGACGGCTGATGTCACGGTAAGCTATTAACTCTTGTCTTCTTAGTTGGAGAGAAGAATGAACTCACCCTCCGATATCTCTTCCTTCTGATTCGACTCTGCAGCCATGATGAAGTCCGTACGATGGATTGAAAATGACAAAAGAGATAATTCAGAATAGAATGAAGACGAAGAGAAGAAGGCATGAGGACATGAAGTAATTTAAAGCGATTGGTCAACGATCTACGCTTCCTAGGTGAAGTGCTGTGTTTACTCATCGACCATCTAACTCCGGGCTCAACGACCACCAACTCCGGGCGGTGGCTTAGGACTGCTCTGCCCGGAGGAGATGGTCTTGTTCTGGAACCTCATATCTAGTAACATTATCCCCCCCCCTCTCCGGCGGTCTTTGTTGTGATTGTCTTTATCCAAGCCGGATAATCAACAACATGATATTTAACATACTGTCCTGTTTGTACTTACTGGTCCTAACCAGCCATGCTCTCCAACCAAAGTATTCCACCTGGATGCTGGAGAGCATTATCTCTCGCAGTGAAGGAATCAATCCAGCCGATGGGCTGCTCGGCGTAATCCAGAAGGTGAGCCTTTCATCAATGAGTAAAAAAGAACAATTCTCAAGAAAAGGACAGGGATTGTTTCAAGAATCCCTCCATGCAGTTATCCAACGCTCTACCGACGCCGCACAAATCGCCAAATGGAGTGCCTATCACCGCCAAAGCGTAGACACCAACATCGGAGACCTCCTCAACGCATCCGCCTCATCACGCCATCTCTCCCTCGATCGGCTGTGTATCGGTCGATCTATATTGTCCGTACAACTCACTCACTTACCCACTTCTAACATCACCTACTGACATAACCGCATGTAAAGAGAGGCGCATCTTGACACTCCGCTGCACCGCCAAACACTCAAGTCGCTCCGACGTTCACTAGATCTGCAATATCGCAACGAAAACTCCGGATTCTGGTACTTCGTTGACCCGCCGCCTCCATACGAAGCATATGGCAATCTCTCCTACAGCGATGGGATGTACGCCTTTGCTCCGTTTGCTACTCTCTACGGATTTATATATGGTGATGAGAGCACCAACCTTGATACTGCGCTGCGGCAACTTCAACTTCTGTACGAAAATAGCGTACAAGCGTCTACTGGGCTTATCTTGCACGGGTACGATGCGTCGAGGGGTGCGCCATGGGCAGATCCTATGACGGGGGCCAGTCCCATCCTCTGGGGTAGGAGTCTGGCGTGGTATATGATTGGGGTGGTCGATACCCTTGAAATCGTGGACAGGCTCTCACCATCAAAGGACAGAAAGATTAAAATGGAGGAGGTATTCCAGGGTATCCTCGATATTTTCCAAAGACTGGCACACGGCACCGTACGGATGATTCTGGATTCGACTCGGGTGACGGGTCGGTATGCCATTTGGCAGGTGATGGATCGACCTGGGGAGCCTGGAAATTTTGTCGAGGCGAGCGCCAGTGCCATGATTTCCTTTGCGTTGGCCAAGGGAGTACGGTTGGGTTACTTGTCCGGAGAGACGGGACATCAGGAGTTGTTTTTGCAGAATGATGTGCAGTTGAAAGAGCATTTTTGGGGTGCCAAGGTGATGAGCGTTGCGCGAGCGTTGTATCAGGATGTGCTAGATCACTTTGTAGTGGAGGATGAAGAGAATGGTAGCCTTCAATTCCATGGTACGAGTATTATTGCCAGCTTGCACGAGGAGAAACTGGATTACGAGGTAAGTAGTCTTCTCCGGGTCCTGGATGTCGCTAAAAACTTCCTTAGTATTATACGCATCGCGCTGTGATGACGAATAGCTTGATCGGAACGAGTGCGTTTGTGCTGTCGAGTTTGGAAATGGAGCACTGAGTTGATATCTGGTAGCTATGCAGATGATGGCGCGGATATATAGCCAGAAGATGTAATAAGTCAAAGGAAGTAAGCAGAGTGCAGACAAAACAGCTGATTCTCAAAAAAAAAAAAAAAAAAAAAAAAAAAAGGGACCATGACACATATATGTCGAACCATTCCCACGGTTCGATGATGACAGATTAATTAGGGCAGTTCTGTAATGTTGACTCGCGCGATTTGAGTCATGATGAATCCGTACTCGACCGAAAAAAAAAAAAAAAAAAAAAAAAAAAAAACAACAACAAAGGTATATCAACTAATCAGACAGAAATAGGACGAGATAGAAAAAATATAAAGACATAACTTATTTAAATATTATTATTTCCGTTCCATTTTCGCGAAAAACAAGTCTTGACTATGTAGCTTCCAGATCAGGCAGCCTTCTGACCCTGCAAATCCCATCGCACACGACCAACACCCCCCTGGCCAACCATCCACACTTCACGATAATCATCCTGATCTGACCAAACAAAATTGTTGACCGTAAAATTCGTTTGCACCCTGGCAATCAGGTCACCATACTCATCCATTACGCTCAATCCATTCCCAGTAGCAGTAACCACCCACCCATTACGAGCGACCTTGAGTCCATCCGGCACGGTGCCGATAGCATCGTAGTGAATGGGCCGTTTGTTGGTAATGGCGCGGCCATGATCGGTGAGATCAAACTTGTACACGGTGCGCTTGCCGGTCGTGTTGAACAGCAGGCCTGACACTCCCGGGCTGGGCATATCGAGTGAGATGGGCGCTGATTGACCCGCCGCTTCTGTGTCGGTGATGTAGATGTGTCTCCTATCGGGGCTCATGGCGATGCCGTTGGGTGAGCGCATCTCATCATTCACCACAACTGTAGAGCCTGTGACGGGATCGAAGCGATATGTGGCGGATTTGAGCTGCGGTGCGGTGTCTGCGACCTGCAGCCACCAGGAGTAGTAGGGCACGGTGAACCAGACGAACCCGGTGACGGGGTCCACAATGACATCGTCGCAATCGGTGAAGGTGAGTCCGTAGTAGTTGTTCAGCAGGGTGGAGGTGCGGTTGGTCCAAGGATCGAACGTGATAATGCCTGGACGTTGGCTGGTGGCATTGCTGCCGGCGACGGAGTAGTAGATCAGTCCGTCGTGGTAGAAGCCGCCGTTGGGCACATAGATAGGAGGATTTGCCTTGAACTGAGACAGCGTGTATGGCTCGGCATTCAGATCGATGACGAATTGCTCCAGGATGGGTGACAGTTCCGAGAAGAAGATCTTGTTCAGTCCCGGGACAAAGGTGGGCGATTCGTGCAACGCCCATGGACTTACGGCGAAGATAAAGTCCACACTGGGCGTCTCTCCCAGCAATTGACGACCGCGAGTCTCATCAAAGACCAAAAAGTTAGCCGAGGCCACCTGCGTCCAGGAAGTGGATTCCACCCCTCCGATCTCAATGTCGGCAAGATTGTTGGCAAAGGTGCCGTTAGGCGACTCACGCCAGAAGGGATACGGCAGGTTGGCTGCATGTTGGTTGACACACACGACGCCAGGCGCAATACACGGACGAGCCAGTCCATCGATCGTCTTGCCTGGTGCCAGGGGTCGCTGCTGGTACTGGCGTGGCTCCAGGACGACCATGCCGGCCACGATGGCGGCATTCACAGCGATGGCGAGAATGCTCTTCATCTTCCTCAGTGGTTTGATGTAAAGATGGAGGGTCTAGACATGAGGCGATATCTCTTCTATATACAGCAGTAGGCAATATTATTAATTGGACACGTATTTTCAGGAGGCTTTCGGAGTTGCATGGTCGTCGTCGCTGCTTCCCCGGCGCCATGTATGAAATGGTCATGTTCTCCTAATTGGCGACTAGAGCGCTCTACAAGACCATTCAATTATGTATTATTGGTGTTACCTATTAGTTATTATCATCTGCAAATTCATCATCATTAGTAAACGAGTATTATAGACCAAGTCTAACGTCCTCTGGCTACTACGGACTCTCGTCAGTGGCCGCCGCCTCATATGTACAGTCTCCCGGATGAGAGCCTTCTTCTCATCTGATGTCCAATACTAGATGTACACATGTAGTACGTATGTTTTCAATAGTCTATACACATTTATTTCCCCATCCGCTGGCACCAGTAATCCCCCTGGCCGCATCTCGAGCATACTGGGCCATCAGCGCATCCATGAGCACTAACGCAGTCATTGCCTCGACAATGGGCACCGCACGAGGCACCACACATGGATCATGGCGCCCTTTGGCTTCGAGCACACTATCTTGTAGCTGGTAATTCGCCGTAGACTGTGGCCGACCGATCGTGGCGGGCGGTTTAAAAGCCACGGTGAAGTAGATAGCGCTGCCATTAGAGATTCCCCCCTGTACGCCGCCCGAGTGATTCGTCTTCGTTACCAGTACCCGATTCTGTCGGACAAAGGGATCATTGTGCGCTGACCCAGACATGACACACCCGGCGAAACCGGATCCGATCTCGAATCCCTTAGTGGCGGGGATACTCAGCATTGCATGCGCCATTTTGGCCTCGAGTTTATCGAAACAGGGCTCCCCCAATCCCGTGGGGACATTGCGGATGATGCATGTCACGGTGCCACCGATACTGTCGTGCTCGTCGCGGAAGCGCTCAATCACGCGTATCATGCGCTGCGACGCCTCCTGGTCCGGACATCGAACGGGTTCGAACTGGTCCACGATGGACCGGGTGATGCCTTTGAGCCTCTGTTGGAACTCAGGATTGATTCCGCTAGGATGTTCAGGAGTAGGGGGGTTGAGATATTCTCTGCCCACCGAGGAGACGAAGGCGACGATTTCGACATTATGGACCAGACGCAGATATTTGTCTGCGATGGCCCCGGCTGCTACCCTGCCTGCGGGTTTGGATAAGTCTCTGCTCGGGGGTCATGGTAGATCAGCTCACCTATCGTCTCGCGTGCACTGCTCCGTCCACCTCCACTGCTGGCTTTCACGCCGTATTTCTGGAGATAGGTCAGGTCGGCATGTCCAGGTCGAGGAAAGACCTCCATTGTTTGACCCCCGTAGTCCCTTGGACGATGGTCTTCATTGCGAACCATGATAGCAATGGGGGTGCCAAGGGTATGCCCAAATTCGGTGCCCGAGTGAATCTCCGCGCGATCCTTTTCATTGCGCGGAGTGGTGAGTACACTCTGCCCCGGTCGTCGACGAGTTAGTTGAGGTTGGATATCGTCCTCTGTTAATTGCAGACCGGGAGGACAGCCGTCGACTATGCAGCCGACAGACCGGCAGTGAGACTCGCCATAACTAATAGCTTGTCAGAGACATCAGACAAGTATAAGAGAAAAGGGATACATACGTAGTGACTCGAAAGTACTGACCCCACGTAGACATCTCGGTTGCCCATGTATCACTACCCTCTGAGGGCCGTAACTGTAGATCGTTTTAAAGAGTAGTGTCCATTCATTCGAAAGTACGACCAAAAGAGCAAGGACCATCTACTCCGATACCTGAGTCAGTCAAGGTGTAGGTCTACTAAGATAGCTAGTCTGTTAGCTATGGCGCTATGAGGGCCGATCTTTACTAACGACCGTTTTCCTCCGGCGCCAATAGATTCCCTACTCATTAAATCCGGATGATCCAGGGTAGACCCTGGTTTAGTTTCTATCATACCTCTGTGAATGCAGAAACCGAGTATGGAAACGAGGGGTGTTAGGTCAGAGCCTGTTGAGGCTGTAGTAGACGTATGGAATGTACATTATCCTACACTCTACTTGGAGCAAATATCATGATACCCAAGAGACAGTTTCAAACTTGTGTTCTATTAATCGCGACCTGGGTCATTTGACAGGTCCCAAGCTGTAACTAGTGACCAGCATACACACATAGAGGAGTGATATAAAATTACAAAACACCAACCCCCTACCGGTGTCCGTTCGCCTTCGACTTAAGTGGACGGACATGATCGAGAAACGACCGAACGACGGTTAAGGCCTGCATGTAAGACAGTCGCGGATCACAAAGAGTCCGATAATTGTGCGTCAGCTCCTCCTCGGAGTATGTATCCCAACTGTCCACGCACTCCGTGACAAATTCACCAGTCTGTTCAAGATGAAGGCCCCCCAGGAAGGACCCGTGGACTTGATGTACATGGTACGTCTGGAGGATCTCGCGCACGATCGTATCCACACACCGGGTCTTGGTTCCGGACGGCGTGCTTTTGGTATTGCCATGGCAGGGATCGCACATCCACACCGGTCTGTGCCCTGCTTTTCGGACGGCGTCAATGAGAGCTGGAAGCACTGTGTCGACGCGGTCAGTACCCAGTCGTGTAATCAACGTCACTCGACCCGCCTGTGTTCCTGCCGCGTCCCGTGGATCAAGAAGGGAGTCGAGGAGCTCAGTCAGCTCCTGTGGTTGCATACTCGGACCTATCTTGACTCCGATTGGGTTGCGGACGCCGCGAATATACTCAATGTGAGGGCCGGTGAGTTGGCGAGTGCGCTCGCCAATCCAGATGAAGGTGGCAGAGGTGTTGTAGCGGCCGCGCGTAAGTGCACTCTCGTAGGGCAGATGCAGCGCCTCGTGTGAGGTGAAGATAGGCCCCTTCCTCTGGCCCAGCTCCTGCAGGAGGTCGTTGGCCAACAGGTCGCGATCCGGAACCATGGCACCCGACGGGGGACCGGGCAGGGATGGACACGATTCCATGAGGTCTAGGGTCGCCCGCGCATAGAAGTATCCCAGCAGGAGACGGTTAGGATCGGGATCTCGGTCATGCACATGCATGCCATTGACGTTCTCCCCACGGAAGCTGTACACCTGCGAGCCATTGGGAAGCGTCTCAGTGGGGGCAGATCGCGGTTTGGCATACTGCCCTGCAATCCTCCCCACTGTTAACACGGGCAGCTGCAGCATGTCGCTGATTAGATGCGACTGTTCGTGCAGCAGCTTCACCTTTTGCTGCACGACCGACGGCCTCACATCCTGAAAGCTCTCCGCACAGTCGCCGCCTTGGAAGATGAATGCCTGCCCTAGAGCAGCCGCCGCAAAGTGTTGTCGGGCCAGCTCGATCTTAATTGGGCTCACCAGTGGCGGCAGTGAAGCGATCGTGTTGCAAACATCGTCGTGTGCTTTGGGGTTTTTATAATCGATGTCCTGAGCGATTATCGGACATTTTCGCCAGCTCTGAGGAGTCCAGACATCTGGCTGGGTAAACTCATCCAGCATTCGAAACACCATCTTCGATAAATATATATATATATATATGAGCAGTGGGAACAATAAATTGGAAGCCAAATTGGTTAACTTGTGTTCTGATTCAAAATATAAGACCACAGAGTTGGTGACAGACGCCGTCCCCCGACCGAAACAGTATTGAGGGCACAGAAATAAATAGGTACGAAAAGATATGATTCCCTGAATAGAACCAATACCCTCAATGCTAGGCTGATACTCTTCGAATTTACCAAGCCTCATTCATCCTGCACGGGTGCTGCAGAAAGTCCATATAATCCCCGGTGGCCATCCGGGTCCGGTCGGAGTCCCACCAGCCCTGAACGGAGCTGACGGTCGTTGTCTCGACCTTACGCACATAATTTACCTTTCCTATGTGCCTATCAGGCCAGGAAATGGCTGCAGGCATCACTTTCCTTGGATTTCTTCAGACGTGGGGCAAGTCGGAACTTTGTGGTGATAAGCTTCGAAGTGGGCTTGATGCAATGCAAGATTGGTCCAGAGGCAATGGAAGTCGTTACCCTGCATTACAAAGGCAAAGGTAACGGAGTTTGGATGTCTACAAGCACCACCTAAGAGCATTCGCTGCGATCTCACGGCATGGACTCAGCGGAGCCTTGTCAAGTGCATACGAACTCCGGTCACAGTCGGCGGCATTGCACCGTGTTTGGCCTGGAGAAGCTCATGCGTGATAGGAGTTGCAAGGTTTGCAGTCGCAGATATGCAATGCCAAGGTGAGAGGAGCGCTGGTATACCTGTGCTGTAGCTGTGTGTATTTAAGCTCCCACTACTTCGCAGCGATATGACGGGCGAGGTAGAAACTACAACGACGTTCACAACGCCTTTTAACAGTTGCTCTGCTATACTCTCATCTATATAGATCACGTCTATACTTGCAACTACTTGCCTAAGCGGTTAATCATGATCTTTGAATCCAAGTTCCCTCTACCCCCGGTTCCCAATACGGATGTCTTCAATTACATCTTCCACCATGGCCGACGTCCATATCCATGGAGTCGTGTGTTGTATCGAGACGACCGAAAGGGAGAAACCCTCACATTAGTGGAGCTCGAGGAGAAAAGTAGGCGCTTTGCCGATCTCATGCGTTCTGAGTACGACATCCAACCTAGGGATGTTGTCAGTATCCTTGCCAAGGATAAGGTATGTACAGTAGGATACGCTCATTCTCAGTTGCTTTGCATGCATTACTATCCCTCCATACTAATGAACGCAGATCCAATATCCCATCGCATACTTTGCTGCGTTGGCTGCTGGAGCCACAGTAGCTCTCATTCCCGTGCAACAGGAGATGTCCGAGACGGATATTGCTACTCGCTTGCTAGAATCGCATGCCAAGCTGCTTATCACGGACAGCGACCTATTGGTTCTGGCCGAGGTATCAGCGAACCTGGCTGGCGCCACCCGGCTGATTACATTGGACCACACAGCAGGTCAACTCTGGGCATCGTTGGACACTCTACTTCTATGCGGAAAGCCTGACGCGGACCTCTTCCGGCTGAAGTCCGAGGCGGAGGCTGCAGAGAATGATGCCTTTCTCAATCGAACGAGCGGATCCACGGGTAGGGTTAAGTCAGTGTTGACCAGCCATGCGCACTTCATTGCCAGCATGGAGGGCACCATTGGTACGATACCGGACAACACAGATCCTAGCCAGGATGTGTGGCTCTCGCCACTCTCACTGGGATTCTTCATCAATGCCAAGCTGCACATGGGGCTCAACATCCTATTGGGTATCCCCGTGGTCCTGATGCAAGGCAGCCTCGATGAGACCACGGTGGATATAATCGGGCGCCACCGCATTACATTTCTGTTCATTACTCCACCCATTGCAGCCCGCCTGGCACGGGCCGACCTGCATGGAATGAAGGTGGATGTCAGCAGCATCAAGTGGCTGCTCACAGCTGGCGCGCCGATGCATGAGAATCTTCGGCAAACAGTGTCAGAGCGATTCAATGGTGTGCATCTGGACCTGGAATGGGGCACGTCAGAGACAATGTTAATCGCCGTGCAACGCGACGAGTACTCGCGCCGCAGCGGGTTCAGCGGCACCCTGGTGAACGGCATGCAGGCCAAGGTCATCAGTACGGGTACCGGGCGAGAACTTGGACCCGGAGAGTCCGGAGAGATTCTTGTGCGCAATCAGCTCTGTCGTTTCCGAGGCTACCAGGACAATGAGGAGGCTAATCGCGACTTTGATGTGGAGGGTTGGTTTCACACAGGTGACTACGGCTATCTGGATGAGGACTGCAACGTCTTCATTATTGACCGCATTAAAGAGCTGCTCAAGGTGGGTGAGGGGTATGGCACGCACATCTCAGCCGCGGAACTGGAAGCCGTAGTTTTTGAGCATCCGGCCGTGGCCAGCGTCGTGGTCGTGGGTATTCGCAACGAGTTCACGCAGCTAGATGAGCCAAATGCCTTCATTATCCCCAAGCCTGAGCATGCGCAGGGGCGCCAGCCTCTGGTACAGTTGGAGCAGGAGATTCTGCAGTTCGCTAGCACCAAATTGACGGGGCTGAGGAGGTTGACTGGGGGAGTTCGATGTCTGTCGCATTTTCCCACTACGGGATTCAAAATCAATCGCAGGGAGCTCAAGCGAATGGGCCATGCGACGCCTATCGACATGGCAAGTAGTGTGGCTTTTCCGGCAGAACAAACTCATGTACAGTTTGTTTAATGCTGACTGCCATCGTGTTTGATGCTTGGCGTATATTCTATTATGTTGTTACCACATGTTATGCCACATCCCCGAGTAAGACAGTCACTGTATACATCTTTGCGTCTATAGGATAGCCCTTTTCCCTATCGTGATTTTCCATAAAACATAGTCCCTGTTGATCCATGTAACTGGTCCATATAATTCCGGTCGCCCACAATGAGAAAAAGACATTATCCACCGATAAACGCAGTCTGTCGTTAAAATCTTAGTAATATTTTGAATTAATTTAACAATACCTTGATAATTATAAATATAATTATAACAAATTGAAATATTTGTAAAGAGACTTACAAATTTTGCAGTACTGAGGTCAAACCAACAAGTTAAAAAAAATACTTGACAAGTATTAAGGATAACTGATCACTATTCTGTTAAGTAGGTAAAACTATCAATGTTAAATACACTATTTATATTGCATTGATATACTTCCTCTCCGCGTTTCCCCTTCAGGCCCTTCTCTGAAAAACTGTTAAAACATCTAATGGTATTGTCACAACCTTGTCTCTCCCGTATCGTACCTAGGGTTTCTAGTTAGTATAGTCTCGAGATGGAGGCTCACCTAGTGTCTGCTCAGGTGCCTCCAAGTCTCAAGCGCGCAATCGATAGTCCGTAAGACAAGGGTTTGCTGGATATATCGCCCCCGCCAGGCTGCGTGCGTAGTAAATGGTTGGTAAAGTGACGAGTAGAGAAACAAGGCCAATCGAGAGTACGTACTCTCGATTGTTCGTTTAGTGCGGACGAGTCAACTAGAAAGGTAACCAATGCTGAATGACTTGTATTGATCGCGAAGGACTAACCTAAGTACGTGAGAGGAGGTGCCTTTATATATCCATTGCCCTGCGCCAGTGGTATACCCTTTGGTATGCCATTGGTATAGTCGTGGTAGATAATATACTGCCAAGACCGCATATTCGTATACCTCCATACACCCACCACGTGATTCCTGAGGCGTAGCCGTTTTTCGCATCAAAATAGCAATTTGCAATTCTCCCTTCTAAGAATCTTGCATATACTCGTCATCGTATGCTATCCAGTGGTTCCGCCTTGACTCCTGATTGATTGATGTATGTATGTATCTATTTAACGTCGAGGGTTGGGTCTTTCCACGAGTCCTTATCTAGGCAGCTAGTGTCACGGAGCATAGACATTCACTGAGCATGGACAGTCACTGAGCCTCGCTTAAACCCTTCGCACACATTAGATAGCTCGTCGCCGGCAGGCCTGCCTCTTTCCTTTTCTCTCCTCATGTTAGAATTTTGTCAGATAATCTACCAATATACTCATATTGCTCGGGACCGTCACAGCTAGTGACAAGTATAATTGATATAAAGAGAGAAGAAAGAAGGATGCACTGCAGTCTACAAGTATTGATATTTACTCACCTTTGTAATATGACTGTATTATCTGTAATCGGAGGCTGTGGGTGCACCCAATTTACACAATCCAATCCAACCCACACCAAATGGATTCTCCGAATCCATTGCGGGTTGAGTCCTCAAAATCCGAATCCACTGCGGGTCGAGAAAATCTCCTTCCAGTCCACACCGATGCGGATTTGGTGTGGGTTCGGAGCGGATTTTGCGGATTGTCCATGCCACTCTAATTCCTAGTGCTGTTAAACAGTATATTGGCTATGATGGCTCTATAGTCACCGTGTCTGAGCAAGCAGTGAAAGAGGAATTCAAGCGGCAGACAGGTGCCACGGTGCTCAACTAGGATAATGAAATGACCAACTCATGGATTCAACCTAGGTAGCTATCGACAAGAATAATTGACAACAGGAAGTAAGAAAGAAGTTAATGCTGCAAACATTGATAAGGCAAACAACGCACTTCACGTGACAGCCAGCCAACATGACCAGGCCGTCACACGCGGCACACGGGTCAGAGTAGATCACCTCGTATTCGACTACAGGGGAGGATTGGAACCCCTGTTCTGCAATGCTTGAGCCGGTGAGGGGTTGTGCTTGCTATCGGTTTCGTCGTCGGAGTTCCAACAACAAATGGCAATGGAAAATTGCTGTCGCTGTCTCCGAAAGAACTGCCCATGTCTGTCATCAACGACCACTCCCACGCCGGACAAAAGTGGACAGGCTGGAACGGGACGATTGAGATGCATGACCAACATCCCCCTGGTCTGCGACTATGTTCCCTATCTATCAGAATGCACCGGACTTGTGATTACCATGGCTGTGATAGTCTCGGACATCCGCGACGGAGTAGAGGGTTGAAGTCGTCCCTGTCGTTAATACCTGTATGATTTGATTTAAATGTCAAGAGATACACATATATAAGAGACACCGTTCAGGGTATGAGAAGGAAAATAGAGAAGTCTAGCACAACATAAAGTGGATAAAAGCATCGAGAATCCCAACATGGAAGCACCAATTCAACCCATGCCAATACATCTCCCTTCTGAGGGAAACAAACCTCAGGACGAATTCAGGGGAACCGAAGGGGCGTACTTGCTCCCCCACCATCAGGACGAAATTGAGCGCCTGCAGCGACAGCATTTCTTTATCAAGGCGGCGACCGATGATAAGCTGACCCCAATCGATTTGCCCATTGGGGCCCGGGTGTTAGATTCGGGATGCGCCGATGGTGAGTTGAGCCGCATAGGACACACAGAACGAATTAGACTGGGTATAACTAATTCGCGACTAATTAGGTACATGGCTCACAGATATGGCGAGCGCCGGACGGCCCGATCTGGACTTCTGTGGGATCGACCTGGGCAGTGCACTATTCCGCCCCGATCCCCGTCTTCATCTCCGGGAGCACGACATTCGGAAGCCCCTTCCAGAGTCATGGGGATACAAGAACAGTTTCGACCTGGTGCACCAACGGCTGCTGGTCTGGGGAATCGGAACGCACGAGTGGACAGCGGTGGTGACCAATCTGGCTGATGCGGTCAAGCCCGGCGGCGTGCTGCAATTGGTCGAAGCCGAATGGGTTCTTAGTTCGTACACGGACGAGCAGGTGCAGCAGAAGAAATTGGCCAGGGTGCAAGAGTGGTCGACAGAGTCATCCGGCATGGATGTTCACATTTGGAAGAAATTTCCGGATCTGCTCCTCTCGCTCGGTTTTTATGACATGAAGGTCCAAACCTACCCCCTGGGCTACGGTGCTACCTCCAAGAGACCCCAAGACCGCATCTGGACGGCAGAACTTCTGCCACAATCCTTTCGCCACCTGGCGCGGAAGATCCCTGGTAAGCTATCTAGTATCTAATCTTACCGGTGCCGTACTGACTGAACCAGCCGAGGGTATCCCTGGTGTGGCCCAAACCACCGAGGAGTATCTGTCGTGGTTGGATGAGCTAGTGAAGGAAATGAAGCAGATTGGATATACACCTAAGATCAGATGGTTGACCGCGCGAAAGGCATAGGATTCTTCACAATTATGCTTAGCTAATTGGGCTGCGTACACCTTAGCTAGTTAACGTGATCCACAAGTGATGTTAGTACCCACCGGGTCACGTGCTTGACCGCCCTCGCTTTCTGCCCAGTAGACATAGCTAGCCTGAGCCGATAGGCACCCAATCAAACCAACTATCCACACACACCAAAAGGTTATGAGCCCTCTTGCTCGTTAGGAGCGAAAGGAAAACGATTATATATGTGTTATTGGTTCCTTTAGCGAGGGATTTCTTGTTAGGCCGATCAGATTACATTTTAGCCTGCGAGAATTCATTGCTATCGTACGCTCAATCATCCCTGAAAGTGCCGCCCCGATCGGTAAACTCAGAAGACCATGAAATCGAGATATTCCCCAGATAACTCGACATTATGCCCCCAAAGAAGATGCCCCCAGTTCTCCAAATGGCGACTCCAGGCACCAAACAACGCAGAGCCAGCGACCTCTTTGGTGATGCCGCTGAAAGCTCATCCATCATGGATATAGACGACCAACCAACCCCAACACCAATCAATCTGGACCCAAACCGGTATACACAACCACAGGAGACCCAATCTCCTAGCCAGACTATTCAACCGCTTCCCGAAACGCCTCCTGCTCAAGGGGGGGGACGCGTCGAATCTGGGCACCCCAATGCCCAAGAACCTGCCCATCATCAAGCCAAAGAGCCGGATCAAACTGAGCTTTTGAAATCACTCATCAAACAGGTAGATGAGTACAGAACTGAGGTC